CAGGTCATATCGAAGATATGGATGTGGCCTGGTTCGATCAAGGATTGGCATTTTTTACACAGCTACAATTCGGCAGAAGCCGCCATGTGAACATTGGCGTTGGTCGTGAAAGCTTGAGCAGTCCCAGCTCTTCAGAAACCTTGTCCTACGAACTTACCCTCGCACGCCTGTTGCCTCACCCGCCCCAGCTAGATTCCGTTCACTGCATATGGGCAGGGGATGGATTTTTCTTATACCTTCGGCATTCCGAAGTCTGGGTTTGGTGCTTTGATGAGGATTGGAACCCTTCCGGCGCGCTTTCACTGGCATCGTAGGGTTTAATCGACTATTAGGATGCTAGGCACTATCGAAGCGTTGAGTAGTTTCAGCATACGACGCATATCAGGGACTTAAGATATCCACCCTAGGAATACATAGCGGTGTAGTAATAGATACAATCACCAACACATCCGGAACCGTGTGCAGCACGATTCTTAAACCTCGGCCTTTAGAAACAACCATAGCTATCTAGTTGACTATCTATCTTTACGCCGCTATATTGTCATTGCTATGTTTGAGGATATAGATGGCTTCTAGCTATAGCTAGCTAGAAAGTCTGTAGTCATTAGACCCGCACTCGAAGTAAGCCCTAGACTATAAAAACCCGCTCGAAAACGGTAAAAAAAAAAAAAAGGATAAAAACGATTGGAAGTCAGCCGTTTAGACAGGGTAAGACTCTTTTAAATGCACATATGCGATGTACTGTAGATACGTTTGGGATGAGATCGAGAGTTCTAGCTGATTCATGAACATAGGATATCAAAATTTGTAGAGACATATGGATGTACCGAAAAAGTAATCTCAGACGACGACAAGGCTAGTGACTGTATATAAGTTAGGACTTAAGTTAAGCTCTGGGATTAGTTAAAGTTGATTAATAGTAGGGTAAAGCTCTCAGCCTAATAGTCTGTCTCTCCTGAATATCAAAGAGATATAGTAATCACCCCTTTTCTCCACCTTCCGTGGCGTCTTCCGTTCTTCTCTGCAGATCCGATTGTCACGCATTTTCAGTTGTTCCCCGCAGCCTCATCTTCTCTTATTGACACTTCGAGGCTTGAACCTTGAATTTGAACTCTCTGGAATTCCACGCGCAGTTGGGCGCGATGACAGAAGAGACTATTGGATGTTGATCTCGGGATAATCCACCTTTCCCACGTTCCTTCGGCACGAGCGTCCATCGCGTCCCCGGTGCATCCGTTCATCCCTTCGATATGAGTCGCCTCGCCGATCCCTCCTCCCGAATTACTTTTGCCGGGGTCCCGGACGGCAGGACACGAAACATCCCCGTGCTGTCGTCGTCCGGTCATTCAGGCGCGATGGATATCACCCCTCCTTCGCCAGCGGGCGCGCATGGCAGCCCTGACGACCGCGCTATGAACAATGGCTCCGATGGCAATTCCCTAAATCCACCAAACCCAGCTGTTGGAGCTGCAGCTGCAGCTCAGCAGCCGAAAGTCGTCCAGACTGCTTTCATCCACAAGCTGTACAAGTAGGTCGTTGGCCTTGCGCTTGCTCCAGCGATGTCGCTAACCCTCCGAACAGCATGTTAGAAGACCCCAGCATCCAGCATCTCATCTCTTGGTCGAACACAAACGACAGTTTCGTCATGTCGCCCACATCGGAATTCTCCAAAGTCCTCGCGTGAGTGCTGTCCTCTCCATCGCTGGCTTTTCGCTGACCGTCGCAGATCCTACTTCAAACATACCAATATCTCCTCCTTCGTCCGGCAGCTGAATATGTACGGGTTTCACAAGGGTAGGTCTTCTACATGCGAGCTTTGATTGCGCGGTTACTGATTGTTCTTGTCTCTGATAGTGAGCGATGTATTCCACACCGGGTCTCCTGACTCTGCGCTGTGGGAGTTCAAGCACGGCAATGGAAATTTCAAGAGAGGCGACCTAGCTGGTCTGCGGGAGATCAAGCGCCGAGCATCGAGACACGCCCTGATTCATCGCGACTCGTTCCCCGGACACAAGGCTGCTGCTTCGCAACCTGGCACGCCTGCCGAACCCGTTCCAGATGCTACCGAAGCCAGATTCATGAACCTCGAGCACACCTTATTCGATATGCATGCTCGTCTGTCCCGGGCGGAGGAGGGCAATATCGCACTGAATTCGAGATGCCAGGCTCTGACCGAAAGTCTGACAAAGTGCTATCATGTATGTTTGCCACCACTTGCGCAGGTGGTATTTTTTGCTAATCTGAATGTAGTGGACGCATTCTATTTCACGATTCCTCCAAGCTGTTGTGCCCGACAGGGAAAGTCCCCTGCATCGGGATGTCTCGAGCATGCAAAGAGAAGTCGAGAAGCATCTCGAAACCGTTCGCGCCCTCGATACTCCCCACGAGGGCCTCATGCCCCCTCGACAACCATACTTTGCCAACATGGCGGAAACCGGTCCACCATTGTCTCCGCGCCAAATGCCTCAGGACGACTCCCGTCGCCAGTCCATGATGGACCACAACCCTAGACCCAACAGCATGATCCGTCCACCTGTTCCTCCGCATCTCTCAGTATCTCCTCGCCGCTATGGCTCAATTGGTGGACCCTCCTCCGCCTCAACATACGCTCGGCCGCAACCTCCAGTCGCACCGCCGCAACAACCTCAACCCCACCCTCTCTCAGTCTCAACATCCCCAGGACCTAGCTTAGCTCGCCGCCATACCTCTGCAGATATCCGACAACACGGCTGGCCACCCTCAGCAGGTGCATCTCCCTACCCTCCTGGCAATCCCCCCAGTGGACCTTGGCCCCCATCGCCACATGGAACCCAGGTTTCCAGTGATCAGCAGGTCCGTGATGTCCTCGCCCAATACGAAATGGGTGCTCCGCGCCGCCTTCAAGAACAATCTCGCCATGCCACTCCACCGACTGCCGAACCGTCCCCATCCATGCTTGGTGTTGACAACGGCTGGACGCTCGGAAACTCAAGATTCCCTCATGGATCTTCCTTGCCTGCAACACGCCGCTCCAGCATGGCAAGCAACGTCCACTCACTGCTCAACCCTGCCGACACTGCTGAAAGACCTGACGAGGACCAGCAGGCAACGGCCGACGACCGCAAGCGGAAACGATTGGAATAAACTCTACTCTACATTAAGGAAAATACCCACATCAAGCTTCTATATCCAAGATATCATTATTAAACTAGGTCTAGATCCCCGGAGTGGATCTAGCTCTTTTTACTTCTCTTTCACTTTTGTTTCCGCTTCTCTCTCACTTCTCCAAAATGTATCATTGACTAGAGTGAGGGTCCCTCCGTATCTACAGACTCATCTGGATATATAGAACGCCCCCAAAGCTCTGGCCATTGTTTTTAATCGCACCTGTAGATGTCCCTTTTCCTTTCCTGTTTTCTTTAGTCACCTTGGATATTTAATTACGGGGTCACGCCAATCCCGGCGCCTGGCCATATAGGACGATGGATTCGCCCCTTCGCTCATACAGCATATCATATATACCCTTGGGTTGGGCGGAGCAAAAAAAATCAATCTGAATTTCTTGAGGTGTCTAGAGCAAAAGATTGGATTTATATTGTATTCGATATATGCAAATAGGTTATACCGGTTGGATGACCTTGGATTTGCTGCTTTGTTCTAGTTTGGGTATCTTGGGATATGTATATGTAGTGGCAGATGAGCTGCCGTGGGAGAAGTCTCTTTCCGTCCTTGGAAGATGGACTGTGTAAGAGCAGAGCCCTGAGAGCTGATGGATGCTCTGCCGGGCAGTCTTGCTTATAGCTGCTGAAACAATGGTTTGATATCAATGCCATTGCCCGGTTCCGCGACTCTGTTCACCATGTCCGGCGCATTCAGAGCAACTCCCATCCAATCCAGTACCCCAAGAATATAATCCCAATGCTTCTCAGCGCCAAGCGAAGCGCGCGCAATTGTGACTCACATTGAATCAATCCAATGCCGAGGCCTTTCACCTCTTCTTTCTCTTCTTCGCGCGCTCAGCTAAAAGTTCATCCAGATAACTCGTCGCCTTCTTCCTCCCCTTCGAGCGCGCAGGCGCAGGCGCAGGCTCTGACGGTGCACTCTCTTCCTCGGCTTTCTGTTCTGTATCCTCAGTACCAGTACCAGCACCAGTATCAGCAACAGGACTAGCAAAGACATCCTCCACAGCACTCGCACCAGCCTTCTTCTTCTTCTGCCCACGACCCAACCCAGCACCAGCCCCGACTCCCCTCATATTCTTCTTCTTCCCAATCATAGCAGACCGCCCATCCTCATCATCATCCTCATCATCCTCATCCCCAGCACCAGTACCAGACGCTGAAGCATTATTCCCAGAAGCAGACGCAGAAGCAGACGTAGTCGTCGAACCAGCAACAGCAGCCTTCTGAGCCGCAGCAGCCTTCATAACACGATCATAGTTCTTGCCGAGGAGTTGTTTGCGCAGTTTATCATTCGAGTCCAGCTCGGTCCGGTTCCAGCTTCCGTCGGCAGCTTTTTGGGGGAGGGGTGCTCCGATGCCGAGTCTGCATTTGTTTTGTTAGATCTTGTATTGTACACATAATGGTAGTGGATATTGTCAATGGATACTCACGTCTCTGGCACAGCGGTGAAAATCTCATCTTCTTCTCGTTGTAGTTCCTCGTCCGTCTTGGTGTTTGCTAGTTCTTCGTTGGTTTGTTGCGGGAGCCACGAGGCTACGAGTCGTTGACTGCGGGATAGGGCGACGTTTGCCCGGTTGAGGATTACGTCGGACTCGCTTTTGGAGAGTGACATTGTTTTCTGGGGGTTCGTTCTGGGCGAACTTTTGAGGGTTCGATATTGTTTAAGGTGATCTGCGGTGAATCTTTTTTTGCCGGGGTTGTTGGGCGGTGAGGTTTATCTCTGATCTATGGACTTGTGGAGTATATACATGACATTTATGCATTTGCTATTGAGTACTTTGGCTGTTAATTTAATGTTGGGGGTTTGTTCTATTATGCAGTTTCATATTTATTATAAATTTATAACTCTGTTCGCTGATTGCTTATGCCAAATTTGAAATCAACCTCTCCTTCCTCCATGTCATTAACCACCATCACCATATAAATATCTCGCTGTATTCATGTTAGGCTCTGGGGCTCAACTTTACCATGAGCGGATGTTTATCCCAAAGAAGGAAACAATCTTGTTCAAGCCAGTTATGTCCTGGTTGCTCCAACTCCATGTCAAAATTGAAGATCATACGAGCGAGTATGATGCGCATTTCAACATATGCAAGGCTAAAACGGTTGTCAGAGTTAGCCAAAAGCATAAAAAATGGTGAAGGAAAAGCTGAAAGAGGATAATGTATAAGTTAGAAGGAGCAACGTACTTTCGTCCAATACAGTTTCTAGGACCGAAGCTGAACGGCTGCATTGCGATTTTGCTGTCATTTGCATAGCGAGTATCACCTAGATGACGCTCTGGGACGAATTGCTCCGGGTCGGTGTAATTGGTAGGCGAATGACTAGCGGCTAGATGAGAGACGGAGACGATGGTCTATCGCGAATGTTAGTGGCTTTGTTGTGTTTCATTCGGAAGGTATCTTGTGCTTACACCTCCGGGGACCCAGTTCCCGGCAATCATGTCGCCCTGAGCATCGACAATGCGTGGAAGTCCAGCCGCAACGGGAGGATATAATCTCAAAGCTTCAGTGAGCGTGGCAAGGCAATACTCCAGCTTGTTGCAGTTCTCAAGCGTGATCTCTTCCTCCTGTGTAAACGCGGATCTGATTTCATCCTGAAGTTTCGCAAGCACGCGGGGGTTCTTTAACAACAAAAATGTCACGCCGGAAAGTAAAGTCGCAGTAGTCTCAGAACCGGCAATGATCAGAGTACTACCATTCGTGATCATTTCCGGAATGCTGAACCCCTTTTCAGTGTTGTTGTGCTTCAAGATATTAGCGAAGAAATCAGGTCTCTCGTTTGACTTTCCCAGTCGACTGTTGACCTTTGCCGTGGTCAATGCCATGTGAGCTTCTTTCTGAGACACGATATGCTTTGGGGCAATCAGTGGGAGGAAATACTTCCATCCAGGAAATCGCCGAGCGACATTTGAGTAAGAGCTCATTTTGATATTGCCGAAAAGGATGGAAATCCATTGATGGTAATTCGAATTCTTCAGACAGTCAAATGGCTCACCAAAAGCCAAGTCCCCAATGATATCAAATGTCGTGAAGTTATACCAGGCAACCATATCAACGGCGCTTTTCCCACAAGCGATGTTCTCACGCAGACGCTGCATCAGAAGGTCAACATAGCCCTTGATGATAGGCTCTTGCTCACGCAACGAGCTGTCAGAAAATGCGTGTGACAACAAACGACGAAAGCGAGAGTGATCTGCATCGCTGGAGAGAATGATACTCGGAGCTCCATTGCCGGTTGGTGCATAGAACCGGTGATCCTTCATTTTCTGGCTGTGGCCAACACGAGTACCATAGATGGGCTTCCAGGCATCACCATGGATAAAGGAAAGCTCATCGGGGGCAATACGAACTACCTCGCCGTACTGCTGATGCAATTTCTTTATTTTTTGTGGGGAACGACCATACATGATCATTCGCATGTAGGGAAGACGCGTGGCAGCCATTGACTTTGGGCCTGGGTATTTGGAAAGAGGGTGGAAGTAAACATTGTATATGATGAGGCCGATGGAGTAAAGGGCGATCTAATACATGTGTCTTCGGTCAGTTGAAGTCCTGTCATGATGGCTGAAGAGTAGACTGCACTTGCCAGTGGCAAACTCAACCCGATCAAAGATAGAGTTATACAGAAGAAGTCTCTTGGACTTGCAAGCCCTTCAATGCCAGGAAGAGCCATAGTTAAAGTTGAAGTTTGGAGTCTTGATACATCCGATTTCCCCCTCTATAGCCTGGACTATTTATACCACGCCCCCATTCATTCTACTCGTGTGACCAGCTGGAAGACATTAAGAATTATGCTACAAAGTCCGTGCACTATGAAGATCCGTGAAGAACCCCGCACACTGTAAGTTTGACCCCTGTCTCGACGGGGCTTGAGTGACCTGAAGACTAGTCGGGGTGTTTAGCGGTCTAGCCCTAAATTGGCCGTCTAGAGAAACCTCAAAGTGCCCCCAGAGGCTTCGTAGAAGTATTATCGGGCTGACAATAGACTTTCTTCATTTAACCTTAAATGAACCGAATGCTTATAGCTTGTCATCTCCTAGTAAGCTTCCTTCAAAGGATAATCGTGTGATTTCCAAATGCAGATCGGCGCGTAGCGTCATATAGGCACTATTTCTCATTGGACACACTAGTGTTCCAAGCTAATGTATGCGGTGCCACCGGACCCGTATACAACGTCTGATTATGCAGAGAATATAATTGTTATGACAGGCTGGTGGGTTCTTCGATGGAAATCCGGCATCTCCTTTATGAATTTGCATAATTTTGTGTTTGAATCCAAGAGCAAAGTACATTTATCCCATGCTGGATAAGCTGTCTTGCTGTATGCTCTCAGACGATCTGCAAAGATACCATGTGTGCTTTGCATGTGATGCCAAATAGTGTGTTAGACAGCTGAACAGCCAAGAAAATGACAGGCAATTATTAGAATATAATACAAAATGGTGTCTATGTGCTATTGTACATGTCCTCTCTATCTGTCTTCCCCGTCCATATCGGATTGTATGCTGGGACCCACACTAGAATCCTCCCAGTCCATGTCTTCTAGGTCGTCAACAAAAACACCCTCGTCATCCCATTTGGCGGGAGCTTGGTGACGTGGCCGTGGGGCATCTGTCTCAATGACCGCCGTCATTGCTTGCACAAGCTGATTGCATAAATTGGACAGAGCTCCTTGAGATTTATCAGACAGCGGTCTTTTGAGAGACATGGTCGTATAGACAGTCTCAAGAGCCTATAGCGAAAGTCAGCTTGCGAATTTTGATAAAAGACAGGGGTTGATGCTAACCTCATTGAAGATTTTGTGTAGCTGGACCACGTCCTCAAGAGTTTTGTCACTATTCATTTCAGTTTCTGGGTTCAAGGTCGCCCAGTCGTTCAAAATGAGCTCGCCTTCGGCTGTTCGTTCTAACCCGTTCCCAAAGAGGGCCGCCGTTAACGGGCGGACGTTGACTGCTTCTTTCATGACTGTAGTTTTATTTGCCATTGACCATAAGTAGTTGAAAATGCATAAGATTTGCCGCGGACTGAAAGTTTTCTTTGCTTCTTCCTTGGTCAATTTGACGGGAATCGTTGTATGTTTGGACTTGAAGGATGCCCCGCCAGGGAATTTCACGGCCAAATGATGGGAGAGGCAATGCGTTACCAGTGCTTTTATGAGAGGGAGGTGGTCTGAATTCGTGTTCATCAAGGCGTTGCCGAGTCTCCCACTAGCAGTCTGGACGTTCAGCTCCGTTCCTGGGTCCATTCCGGCGGGTATTCGAATGCGAGACAACCTCTCCATGATTCGCTCAGTCTCTCGCAAAACATTTTTGAACTGCCCATAGTTGATCCATCGGTTACGAGCAAACTGAGCAGCTTGCAAAGAACCTTGCTTATGCTCCACCTCTCGAACGGCTCGGAAGGCTTGGATGTATTCGTAGTGAATATTCGCTGCTTCCGGGGCAAAAGCCATGCGCGACTTCTTTATCTTCGCCGCCATCTCAGAGTTGAGAGACCGCACAAAGATATTCATATGACCCCCGAGCGCTGCGAAGATCACCATAGGGTCCAAACACTGAAAAATAATCCCCAAAACAGCCAATTTGGCATAGGTTGGATGTACATTTAGGTCATCTAAAATGTGACCCAGATCGGTAACTTCTTCGTCTTCCTCCAGCGCTTTTAAGTCCTTCAAAGCAGCTACTGCAACGTCAACCTCTGATCTCTCTGGTGGTTCAACCAATCGCCCAAGTAGCTCTGAGATGGTCCCTGGAATTCCAGGAGTTGATCGTTTGAGTTGCAAGCAGAATGGTTGGAGATCCTTCCGCCTGATCTCTGTGGCTCTGGACGTTGGAAGGGAGTCAAAACGCTTTCGAAGCCCAAGAAAATAGTAATCTCCAGCCTGAACTCTTCCCGCACGCCCTGCCCGTTGGAATGCAGCGTTCTGACTGATCCAGCAAGGCGTTATAGATTCAGTTGCCGTGAGAGCCTCGAAACCAGCCTGATTTACCTTGCCAGAATCGATTACATATCGCACATCTGGTATGGTGAGGGATGCCTCGGCTATGTCAGTTGCAATGATGACTCTTCGACAACCGTGAGGCATTTTGCGATCCAACTCGAGCTGCTCCTGTGGCAACTGTGCATGAAGCTTGACTAATCTGAACCGACTGTCGTCGTCGAAGTTCAATCCCAGTTCAGAGCTGAAATTTGTGATGTGCTTCTCCACGTTGAAGATGTCTTGCATACCGGGAACAAAGACAAGAACAGAGCCTGTCTGAGTCGATGATAGTACTGAGAGGACAGCCGCAGAAATTAACCCCCAAGGTACTGTTTGCCCGTCAAGGGACGATACAGGCGGTAAAATTTGTTCCCTCATTGCGTCTCCTTCCTCGGGCTCCCCAAAAGCTTTAAAATGGACATCGAGAAATCTCTTTGTAAGAGGTTCCTGAATGAGGCCAGATAGAGCCCCCGGCGTCAGATTATGAGTGATTTCTTCAAGGACTTCTTCCAGATAATGCCTCTTCACATGGAAAGTGCGTCCAGGAACGGTGATATGAGGAGCAGGCACAATTGTCCCATCTGGTGCCTTGTTGGAGAAGTAGGAGGAGAAGAGATTGACGTCGACCGTTGCGCTCATGATAGTGATCTTCGGCACTCGAAGTCCAATACTTTGAAGTTGTTCAATGCGGATTTTTATGAGCATCATTAGCAGATCGAGTGGCGCGTCACGGACGTGGACTTCATCAAGGATGATATGGCTGTACTTTCCTAGGACAGAAAGTCCATTTCTCAACATCATTAGCAGAATTCCCGAGGTGCAAAAGGTAATATTTCCTCCCGGAATTGGTCGGACGGAGTCGTCTCGCAAAATGTAACCAACACTTTCACCAACTTCCTCGAGTCTTTCTGCGGCAACTCGATGTGCCAAGCTCTTTGCCGCGATGCGCCGTGGCTGAACACACAATACTTGACAATCAGCACCAACAGAGTTGTCTATCGCCGCATCAAGAATGAGCTGAGGAATCTGGGTGGACTTTCCAGATCCAGTTTCTGCAACGACAATGCTATAGGTGTTGTTTTCAATGAGGTCAACAACGGGCTGCGCGAAGGACTTCGATCTCATAGGTAACATCTCCCTAGCCTCTGTGATACTCTTGAACTGTGGATCTTCGCAGGCTCGCGCCTTTCGCCTGGAACGACGCAGTCGCTCCTCAAATCCTCTTCGCAATGTATAGCTGAGAGGCGCGAAGTGACGATCATTTTTGCTTGGCAGGTGAAACTTGCTCCTAAGGGTTCGCCTGTGCTTAACGGGTGCGCCCCCAGCCATCTCGAGATGGGCTGACTCTAACGCTTCCTTTGCATCGCTGATTACAAAGGACAGTTCATCGTTGATGTGAAGCCTGGCTTTACGCTTTTTCTCACCGGATTCCTGCTCCGCTTTGAGCTTTTCCTCGCCGGATCCCTGCTTTGCTCTGGGTACTAGCCTTTGCCAAACACCTGCTTTTTTCAAAGATGCCACCATGGACAGTTGTGTCATTTTCTTTGCTGTAGTCTGTTTTCAAAGTTAGACACAAATATTTGAGATCAGTGGAGCAAGGTTTAGCAAGTTACATACTCTGTGTTTAGCATGCCCACCACCCTGAATTTTTTTAATGTGCTTAGGTATAAAACATTGAGAAGTACAGGTGAATCCTCCTTTATCGCCGCGTGTATAGACAAAACTGTCACAATGCAGCCTGTGGCTTGTCACAAGGCGGTTGAAAATTTGAAGATCAGACAGGTTCTCGATGGCTTGACTCTGTGCCGGAGAATTGCCCCCTCCATTTGACTTGTTCTCTCCATTTGCGGGTAAACTTCTCGATTCTCCATGGTCTGATGGTTCTTCGACCACAACGCCAGCGGCTTGAGATCTCGATCGACTTGTCCCTGAAAGATTGCGTGTGATGAGAGAACTTGTGAACGAGCGAGTATCAATTGTTTCCCGGTGCTGTTCGAGTGCAGACTGATCGCCAGTGACTAGTGATGACAGCACTTTCGGATTGAGCGAGGCCCGAGATAAAGTAGTAGTTTGGGAGACCGTGTGTATTTGGCGTGTCAAGAATCGTCCAAGTCTCAACTGGCTTGCTCCCAGACAGGTGGCACTGAAGTATCCCCCTTTTCGAGCCGAGCGATGTGCTTGATTGCTGTTGCGGAGACAAAGACTGGCACTTGTTGCGATTCCCATAGTGTATGATCGAAATTACACGGCCAGGTACGGAGGTAGACGAGCATTGCGCGGAGCAATGCGGTGGCTTCAGGCCATCGAAAGAAACGTGACCGAATTTGGAAAAGACCGGATGGAATAGAGTGATGCCACAGACATACAATGATGCCTTTGCGTGGGTGAAAAAGGGGGATGGCGAGAGTGACAGATTAAATAAAAAAAAGAAGACATTTCCGCGCCGCCGCATATTTCGGTCTTGGCACTCCGAAACCTTCAATATCACCAATTAAAAAGCGCCCAACATCTATGATTATAGCAGGTATTTAGATTTTAACTCAGGGATTTTTTTGGAAATCAGAGCTTATTCATTGGAACGGCTGTATATTCGTAGCATCATGTATAGGTCTTATGTACAAGTCTATCTATATACCATCTATGGCTCTTCCGCCCCAGACATACTTCCCCAATCTGTTCTAATGTAGTATAGCACAGTATAGCACAGTATACCACAGGGTATAAATCTCATCAAGAAAAGAAGGAGTACAAGCAGTTCATGCTGTGGCCTCCTTCTGATGCTTCATCCGCAACTTTTTCTCCGTCTTCATGAACTCGCGGATGCCAACCGGGATGTTGGAAAACAGATCATCATCTTGTTTCGGCATAGACCAATTCGTTTCACTGCCACCTCCATCATCGTCCATACTTCCACTGGCTGAACGGACTTCAGCTCTGGGCGCTGCGCGCATGTCTTCTGTCCCTTTCTCAGGACCGCCTTTGGCCTTGGCCGTTGCGACCCTAGATGCCCAATCCTCCATCTCATCTCGGAAATCATCCCAGACGCAGTGTACACAGCCGCTCATGCAGCAGTTGTCTGGTTCTTCGGGTTGAGGAGGGATGGGAACCCCATTGACTGTTCTCCAAGTCGACTCCGGAGGCGCTTCACCGGGGTTGTAGCGCGAGGACCGGCCTGGACCTGCAAGACGAGTACCGAAAACAATCGCCATTTTTTCTTGAGGGGTTTGCGGTTCAACAGTGGTTGCGGGCGTCGGTTTGTGTTCGGGCCGAACCGGGGTCGGTCGCGATGTCGACGCACGACCACCGTATGGGGAGGGCGATTTCAGGATCAATGAGTAATATCCTGTCAGCGGGTGGGCCTGAGGAGAATCGGCAGTTTCCTCTACAGAGACTGGAGAATTATGTGAATCGGAATGGTCATTGGAGTGGGCTTTCATGCGCCGGAGTGTCGGAGCCAAAACATATTGCCTGTGTGAGGCAAAGGAAGGACGCGATACAAGAGATAAAAGGGGAGAGTGAAGACGGGACCTCCTGGGTGAATGTCGAATGCCAGTCGAGAGACACTCCATGGTGAGTTGGAAAAGGTCAAGACCTCCGAGATGCAGATGTAGGGTGATTAAGTCATAGTGTTTGCAAGCAATGCAAACACCGTTGTTTATCTTCATCTGCGCGCTGCAGATGAGACCGAACACCCCACGCCACAATGGATTCCCCCGCCAAACGACGAAAAACTAGCGAATCTACAGGTATCGCTGTGCCTCCAGAGCTCGCCCAAAATGCGTCACGACCACCACGACCTTCCTTTCAATCCCCTACAAGGGCCAGTCTTGCGCGATCGCATCCAGATGTGTTAGAGCGCGCGCTTAGCAGATCTCCCACCCGACGAGCGTCAAGCAAAGGAGCCGAACAGACCGACGCTCGAACCTTTGGACTCCGGGATCGCAAAGCCCTCCGACCCTCGTTGAATGCTTCTGCAAGCCCTCTCACTCGGCCCCGAGTGCCCGATATGCCAGGAGGATCCCCCAACAGGCGCCCAAGTGGCATCCAGGCGTTCTCAAAGCCGCCTCGCAGAAGCTTGAAGAAGATTCTTCCCGGAGATTTTATGTTCGGGTCTCCAATTCCACGGTCAAATGCTCCCGACTCGAACACACCCGAAGGCCAATTGGCAATGGAATTAGGCGACGCTACACAAGAAGCCGATACGGATATGGGCTCGGGCGGTGCAATGATGGGCGAGGATATTCTTGAACCAGACCTTCCCCCAACTCCAACTCAACTCGGCCTTGAAAAGGCTCCAGATCGGCCCAGAGGGATGATGAGCAGCAGCCCCAGTTTACGACAGGAGAAGCGGGTCAGACGACGAAACACCGAGCCATTTGGTGAAAGCCCTTTGAAAGCTGTGAAATTTCGGTCCATTACTCCCACAGAGACGGAGACAAGTTTCAACCCGGAGCTGTCTGTGGCTGCGCAAAAGAAATACAAGTTGCGCAAGAGAAGTGCTACGGAACTGCAGCGGCTTAGAGATGAGGTTGAAGAACTGGAAAGATGGGCAAAAGAGATTGAGTCCAAGGACAACCTGAAAGGCGACAGAGGACTAGATAGACTTCTGTGAGTTGACAAGATCATATTGACATGAAAACCGCTAACCCTCTTCAGATCATTGCTTACAGCAGAAGAGGCAAACCTCGAGAGCCTACCGGTTCCTCGAATAGCTCCGAAGCCAATGTCTTCGATTCTCGCCACTCTACTCCCATTCTCCTCAAACATCCGTCAACCCAAACGACAGGCATCACCTCTGCCAACGAATCCGTTCGCTCTACAAGAATCCTCTAGGGCATTGCCATACTTAACAGTATTCGCACCACTGAATCTCAAATCCCGCACTACTCGATCATCACATAGAGAAGGGCCGTCAGAAACACACTCCCTGACCTTCTCCGCCCCGTCCCCATTCCCAGCAAATCTCTACAACGCGACAGTGGTCTACGAGACGAATCCAGAAACCCAAACCGTGGTGTCCGTGTCTGTTCCAACTGGCAGTGACAGCAAGAAAAGGAAAACGCCGGAAGCTCTCCGCCAATGGATTGATACGCGCCTAGAGAATCCCCTCTTAAAGCTGGATGTGTCCACCCTCTGCTGGGGCATCAACCGATACTGGGAATGCTCAGTCACACGAGCTCGCCTGTGGGCACACATTGACCACAAATACGGCGACCAGGCCCTGCGTGGCAACAAAGACCCATTACCCGAAAATGGGAACGGGACTATCACCATGTCAGAATTACGCCGACTAGTTCCTCATCTTAATCGGAGTACGATGGCCATCAAGCCCAAATTGTCAGGCTTGGGTCCTCGTGTGCTGTTATCTATCACCTTGGTTTTAGATGATTGGACTGGAGAGCCTCAGCTTCGACCTGAGATCAGTGTCTCTTTGACTGGCGCAGATCGGAAGATCGACCACGAGACTAAGAAGCTGTTCCATGCGTTGCTTCGTGAGGGTGAGGGTGGTGATTTGGCTACGAGCGGTGTTGATCCTGTCTTGAGAGCTACCGAGGGTGCTCTCGGTGCATTGTTTGGTGGTCTTTGATATCCCGTTGATTGTTAGCGTTGGACTAGTTGGAGTGGTTATTTAGCGTAATTATTTGAAGATACCCTAGCATCGTTCAGATGTTTAATGCAATCCGCTTGTGGATGTTTGTCGATGACAACAACTTGTGTGCATTCATAGAAGTATGTACTTTTGGAGTGATGGCTTATGCGAAGACATCGTCAACCCACGCGTGACTAGACCCAACTCGCCCTTCACAGAGCTACGAAACTAAACCGATAGCACACGCTAGTTGCCTATGGCCATAGAAGCCACACAACGTCACAACCATGAGCTCAATCACCAGCGGAACTAGATATACAAGGCATACAAGGCAAGAATGAAGAAAATTGGGACGGTTTTGAATTTCGAGAGATCTTCCGAGTTCTTTCTTTTAGAGACAAAAAGGAGTAAAAAGTGGGGGAGGGAGAGAGGGAATCAAGGAAGAGGCGCCACGCCATGCCACAGGTACACTAATCCCCGATTCGAAAACCGACCCGATCATCATCATCAGCACGAGCAGGGAATTAACACATTTATTTCTTGGCGGCAGCCTCGTCATCAGCCTTGGCCTTAGCACGCTTCTCGCGCATGCCGCGGTAGCGGGCCTCAGCGCGGGCCTCACGGAGACGGCGGTAGGCAGCCTCCTCACCCTTGGGGAGGGAGTCACGCTTGACCTCGGTGACGGCCTCGGCGGCGGTGGGGTTGGTGATGGGGAAGGTGGCCTCGACGCGGGTGGCGATGCCCTCACGCTCGCCCTTGGCGACGGTCTCCTTGACGGCCTTGACATCCTCGGCAGAGGAGTCGAGCTTCTTGAACTGACCGCTCTTGCGGGGGAAGAGGATCAGGCGGGCCTTGTAGTCAGCAAGGCGGGCGACATTGGCAGTCAGGGACTCCTTGGAGTAGTTGGTACGGCGGTGGTCGACGGAGATACCAACGGTGCGGGCAAGCTTCTTGGGAATGCCAGCCTCCTGTAAAGCGGAAAAAAAGCACTAGTTAGCATGTCTGTTGCTTCGTCCAATTCGTGACCCTTTTTCGAAGTGGCGGATTCCAATTTACCTTGAGCTCAGCGAGGGTGAAACCACGACCGGCACGGACACGGCGGTTGTACTTGACGGTGGGGCACCGGACAACGGGACGCAGCTTGTCAACCGGACGGGGAGCAACGGCAGCCGCCTTAGCGATGCGGGCCTCACGACGACGGAGCTTCCGGCCGGGCTGTAATTCATGTTAGTCGACCAAGTTCATTCCTGCATTGAAATTTTTTTTCCTCGATGCGAGTCGGTTTGCGATATCGTTCGGGAGAAAAATTTTCTTGTCGGGGGTTTGGATAGTCGTACCTGGTCGAAGTGCACACGCACACGACGCTGCCAGTCCTTGCGGAAGTCTAATTAAATTGTTAACCACACCATTCCTTCAATTCTGAATCCATGTCGGTCCTTTCAAAGCGATCACACAGATAGACACAAGGCGGGATCACTCACGGTTCTTCTGGATTTGGTTGTTGTGCTTGATCGCCTATATATCCCACACACAATCGGTCAGTCATCATTCTTTGAGATTCGAGCCCGTATTTCGATTTGCGGATTCCAATTAATCGCACAGGCCGATTCCTTCATTGTATCTTCCAAGTAGATGAGGGTAACGCACCATGTTGACGGATGGGGATCGAGCCGGGTGGTGGTCGTCGAGGGTTGCTGGTCAAATCTCCCTTCACGGCAGAAAATGAAGTTCCCATTTTTCGTGTGGCCGCCCGCTGACTGGCTCACCGCCTCGCTTAGCGAGCCCTAACCTTACCCGATTCGGTAATCTGCCGTAGTTACCGACTTGCGATTTTTATTGGGGATTTTTGTATTTTGATATGTTGAAACTGACGAGAATAATAAGAGCCCATAAGAAAAAAAAATCCGACTCGATTTAATTCTACGAAAAAATTCCAGTTCAATCATTGTAATTTGTTATTTGGCCCGAAAGACCCTAGTCCTATCGTAGATGGTCATACCATTCCATTTCATTTGCCATCTATAGATGCAAGAGCCATATAGCTCCAAGCAACGTCTTCATTCCATTCCACGCCTACAAAGGCCAGGTACAGAATAGACAGGCATCAATACCCGAAAGCAAAAACCAACTCAATAACGCCAGTTGAGAGCCATGGATTTGTCACATGGCCTCTCAGCATAGAACCAAAATCCCAGTCGCTAGGTTGAGAACGCCGTATACGGCATGTCTTCATGAATCGTGAGTCTTTCCCAAAGTCGTAACAAGCAAAACAGCGCTAGGTCATGAATCATATCAAAATCGGCAACACGATCTGTCATGCAGCCATAGGATATGGGCTTAGGCGTTGATGCCCAAGCCAATACCGTCACCGGCCCTGGACTTCTTAGAAGTGTGCCCAGTAGCCTCGATGCCTGCCTTGCGCTTGCCGGAGCGAGATCGCTCCACGCCAGGCTTCTTCACCTGACCAAACAGCTTGGTCTGAAGCAAGGTGCTGCTCTTGGGGACAGTGGAACGCATGTGAAGGTGCGAGGTGTCCAGCCCATCTTCCGGGGCTTCAGAGGCAGAGAGCGACACAGTGCTGTCGCTGTCGTAATGATCGTCTCTTGGAGGTCCTCTGGGCGATAGGTATTGGCTTTTGGGGTGGTTGGGGGTAACAGGAACGGAGGTGACAGAGTGACCGCCGTAAGCATGTGTTTGGTTGGTGAGTTTGTCGGCGTAGAGAAGAGCAGCAAGACCATCGGTGTGTTCGCCGTGGCAGATACTGTGGAGCTCATTCTGCGTGCCTGGTGACATGCTGCCGTAGTTGAAGATTTGAGAGAAGTGCTTGCGGTTGTCCCCGATGCGTCTCTTCAACATATCGTTTTGCTCCTTGAGTTCCAAAGATTGAGCGGTAGCATCATCAATCGCGCGCTTTGCCTTCCGAAGCCTGCTGTCCAGAACTGTGTTGAGCTTTTCTAGTTCTTGCGACCGCTGCAGAGCCTCGAGGTAGTCATTGTTCACGACAGACCGGGACAGTCTGGGTGTGGTAGGCTCCGCAGGGTGCGAGCGACCGCGGTACTCGGCGCTCTGCAGGATTTCAACTTCGCGCTTGGCGAGTTGGTGCTCGACCTCGGCGCGCTTCACGGCTTCATTGCTCGCAAATGAGACCAGGCTGTTCTGCAACTTGAAGTGTAGCGCAGACATGCGCGATTCCTGCGCAATCGCAAGAAGGTCCTTGGCAATGATACGCAATTGAGCTTCACTGGCATGATCAATTTCCTCTGCGGTAGGCAGGTTCTCGGAAGCACCATACGCATCGCACAAAGATTTATCTAAGTCGGCCGGTGTGACCAAGGAAGGACTCAAAGAGCGGGAGTGTGAACGAGATCGAAGCGGGGCACCCGGAATCTGAGTTGAGGGTGGAGGAGTCATGTCTGATGACGACAAAGGCGGGGGCGAAACGAACTTCTTATCCGACTGGGATGATGGGCGCTTGGCCATGGCGGTGAGTTCTGGCGAAGGCGACAAAGTAGCCCGACGGACTGGGGTTGAGGGCACAATCTCGGCGGGTTCTCCCAAGGTGCTTTGTGAGTTGGGTTGAGACATGATGAATGTGGAGTGATGTTGATATATCGATAAGATCAGGGTTAAGCGGGGAATGGATCCTCACGCTGTCATCCTTATCAGCATCTATCAATGGGGATAATCAAAGGGCAAACACATACCAGAGACTTAGCAGTCAAGCCTCAATAGTGTCAATCACACAGATGCTCAGACCAGGTATGTTGCCTGAGGAACCAAAATCCGAAACTACCGGGATTGGGAGTGTAAGGGGCAACAAGGATGAGTATTGGAGAACAATGACAAGGAGGTGAAAGAAGGGGAAATCATAGAATATGGAAGCTTAAGAGGAAGAGGTTACTCCAGCTCGCAGTAATGAGGGGGGCTGGGAGGCTGGGAACGGGGAGTCTGAAGGTGCCCGCTTTGGGTTAGCCCCTGTCCCAGCCCCGGCCAATTATCTAAGAATATTAGCCAATCAGAGGCTATGATCTGATATTGTTAAGCCCATTTGGGTTAGACTGACGATCACGGGACGCTCAGGGCAAGTAAACACCCGCAACCAGCCAAGCGCTGGGGGGTTGGGTAGGCAACCAATGTGATATCATCTATATTCTGTACATCTTTCAAGCTTATCTCGATGTCTCTTGTCTATGCTATTTTGTAGGCTTGCTAGAGGTCTTTTTTCAGGTTGTGTATCTCTGAGTTCTCCCATTGCTTTTTCGTCTTGTTATAACCAATTCATAAGTGAGAACGCCTAGTGCATACAGTACGATTTGTCTTTTATATAGGCCATGCAAGGAGTTCTAAAAGCCTGAATACTTGATCCAGTCATTTATATGATAAATCTAGCTAACCTGAGCAGAAGTCTCATAATCATGGCGCTTGAGGGGCATAGTGAACATGGGATTGCCAATTCCGGGCTTATCCAGCGTTGGGGGCTCCTAGAACCTGTGAGTATATAAATTGTGATAGCAGGGCTACTTATATGGGGATATTGATATCATACCGAGGGTTTGTCCTAAGCATATAAGGATGGGATGATATGGGCTCCCGTCTTCTATCCATGGTCTTTGTTCATTTGACCTGTGATGACGCATTTGTAACCATCACGCTGTAGGAACTGGTCAGGGAAAATGGCTGATCAAGGATTGCTGTCACTGTCTGCATATTGTCATAATGTTTGGAGGGCTATTGGTGACCGAATATTGATTCGGTCATGATTTCATTATCCGTAAATGTCAATAAGAAGACTCTGATATTATCGATTGGTATATACTTCCTAGGCAGTGCTAACCTGTAAATAGGTTGGGGAAGATAGAACCTGACTGATGTTTGTTGCAGCGATGCCTTTTGCGATGGATATCAGGGCTTCTTCCGGAACCAATCCCATAAAGAGTCACGCGAAGAGAGTCAAAGGTCAGATAGACCGAGGGCAGACCAAGCCATTCAGGGTATAAGTATGATATCGTTCGAATTAGGCAATCATTTCTGCACGCTCTTGTCACTTATTTCGCAATCCCCAACCTGTCTGCTCTATCCCGAGCCTTTGAAATGGAATGTGGAGGCATAGAACTCGGAAATAAGCCAGCCACCGTCTACTGGACCGCCTAAGGAGAATGAGTCACTGCGACAATGTTTGTATCTTTGTAGATGATAGGCAGTCTTCGGACTAGGATGATTTGGATGCCATGACGATAGGGTATACACTCTGATGGGTGGAATCAGCGAGTGAAAGGAATTTAAATGGGATGAGAGAAAGAAAGAGGGAGACGAAGTGGGTAAGATCTTGGAAGTATATATATATTTAGAGTTAGAGTAAGGTAAGTCTAGATCAGGTACGTATTCAGGGAATTACGACTTGGAAAGGCTAAATAGACTACTTACCATTCATGGTAGTAGAGGAACAAAGAAGCTTAGTACGCAAATAGAGTTCAATTTAAATCGCTGAGAGGAAAAGATACTCAGGAGACATATTTGTGCAGCCCTAGGTCCTTTCTTTTAGGAACCAAAAATTAGCCAAAAATATATGAAAAGAGGAGCAAGGCGCTAAATAGGCGAGACTAGTCTAAAACTATATCCTTACGTGTAGAAATGGCGAAGGGACCAAATTCTGCAATGCAAGGCCCGTTCTATATAGATCGCTGACAGACCGGGAAAATGCTGCCTGAGGCTGCTATCGCGGGATCGTGAAATGTAAACAATCCACTTCCTCCGACACATTTCTGAGATCTCCATTCTTTGTGTCAAGACAAGCGCAAATTTGCCGATTCGCTTGGTTTCCGCCCTTACATTCTTTGTCCCGCTCGGACATGAGCGGATCTCTCAACTTGCGGCTTTCTCCCTGACCAAAACCCAATAATACGCGGGTCGAGATGGAAGGACAACACAAGACAACAACACGCCCTCCGAGCGGTATTCCGCGGCCAGCAAGCGGAAACCCTCGACTGACTTCAAGGCTGCCATTACCCGCGGCGACCGCCTCCAAATCGATCAAGCCTTCACCCTCCCGAGATAGACTAAGAGCGGACCCTGGTTTAGATGAAAGACGACTACGAAGGCCTTCATACGACACACTTGTGAAGAAACCGCTCGCTCGCTATTCATCCCCGCCAAAAACCCGAACAGATTCAATCTCAGCTTCGCAAATACCAGATGAAACGCAAGGCGGGGCAGATGACATACAAACCCCGGAGGAAATGACCCCAATTGCCGGCAATGAAGACGCCGCATCCACCGCATCAACACAGGAAGACCGTGGTCGGTGCGAAGTGCGTCCGTCCTTGTCTGAGCGGACACTTGAGACGCTATCACAAATTCCACCGTCCCCGGCGTCGGTAAGAAGACAGTCCAGCTTTTTCAATGGCGCCAGCCCAATACGCTCGCCATCTCGTGCTCCGTCCAATGTGTCCAGTTATTCGAGATCGCCATCCAGGGCCTCGTCGGGCGCGCCAAGTACCAGCGAGATGTACACCCAGCCTGTGTCGCAACTACGGCTTCCCTCGAAGCCTCGCATGTCCGTTGCGTCCCTTTCTCCAGTGCGTGGTTCGGAAGAAGGCAAAACCCCTTCTAAATTGAAGGCGCCATCGAGTAGACAAAGCCTTGCGCCAGGGGATGAGGCACATTCCGATATCAAGTCACCACTCAAGAAGAAATTATCACAAAGATCCATTGGGAACAAAGATACAACAAAGCCCTCGATTGTCCGACCCTCACCCGGCAAGATCACCACAAAGCCTACTCAATCAAACATGGGTCCCCCACAGAAACCCCTTCAAGTGAGAAAAACACGAAAACCCCAGTCAGAGCAACCGTCTGCTATGCGATCTCCATCGACGGCGTCAAGATATGTGTCTGCTGCCTCCAACGTGCAGGATGAGCTATCCCTTGAGCAGCAAGCAGAATCCGAAGCCAGGAAAGTCTCGAAATCATCTAATACGCTGCGTGATACCATAGCCAAGGCGAAGGCTGCACGTAAGGCAATGGCAGCCGAAGAGAAGAAGGAAACACCACAAAAAGTGATATCACAGGCTCCATCTGCCGATCCATGGGGAGGCGCTGATGAAGAGGATCCTTTCAATCAGCTACCTAAGGGTGACAACCGATTGGTCATGCGAAAACGAGTTCAAACAGGACGCTCTACCGGCCAGCTGAATATCGCGGCAATGTCTTTGACAGAAATTCCAAAGGAAGTGCTGACGATGTACGACTACGATCCAGACAACGCAGCGAACTGGTTTGAGAATGTCGATCTCGTCAAGTTCATTGCTGCGGATAATGAATTAGAACGTATTTCAGACGCTGTCTTCCCGGACATCAACCCCGAAGACTTTGACCCAGACAGTGACGACCGGGGACTTCAATTTGGTGGGCTTGAGACATTGGATCTTCATGGCAATATACTGAAATCACTTCCGAACGGTCTCCGCCGCATGCAAAATCTACGCACTCTCAATCTATCGAACAACTCGTTGGACATGGATAATATTCAGATTCTCACAGAGATAATGTCTCTGACAGATTTGAAATTGGCAAATAACAAGCTCGAGGGACAATTGTCGACAGTCTTTGCGGGTCTTCACCAACTGGATTCTTTAGACCTCCGCGGAAATAATCTCACCAGCCTCTCCGAGGCACTGGTTGGGTTGACTTCTTTGAGGACATTAGATGTCAGCGAGAACAAGCTGACCTCTTTGCCATTCGAATTGCTCAGTAAACTTCCCCTGAAAACGATCAATGCGCAAAAGAACAAGCTGGAAGGTACCTTGATTCCTGCCTCAGTGGACCGTTTCGAGACCTTGCAGACCCTGAACATTGCGAACAATGTTGTCGTGGTCTTCTCGGCAAATGACATGCTTGATCTGCCTAACATACATACTCTTTTGATTGGTGTCAACCGCATTACGCACCTCCCCTGCATGTCTTCATGGCAGTCTTTGTTAACACTCTCTGCGGAGGAGAACAAAATTTCAGAGCTTCCACCAGGATTCGTGGAGCTCAAGAATATCAAGAAGGCTGACTTCACTGGAAACGACCTCTCGCGTTTGGATGAGAAGATGGGTTACATGGAAAGCCTCACATCTTTCCGTGTCGCCAACAATCCCTTCCGTGAGCGGAGGTTCCTAACCATGGACACTGAAGACATCAAACGTGATATGCGAAGCCGCAGCGAGCCCGATCCTCAGGACACAGATGATGAGGGCTCAGTAGCCACTCAGTTCACTCTGGCACCCGAAAACCCTGCGCTCGATGCCAGTTGGCAGCTCAAATCCGGTGGTACTCTTGATCGGTCTTATTCTGAGATGACAGATCTCAAGGTGGACCAGCTGGAGATGCTTCCCTCCCAAGATATTCGCTGCCTCTACTTACAACACAACAAGATACCCTGCTTCCCAGCCCCAGCGCTTGCAATGCTCGCCGAGGGCCTTGTTGAGCTTGATCTCTCGAACAATCCCTTCAACGGGGCTGACTTTCTGTCTTCTCCGCTTGAGCTGCCCAAGCTGCAATCTTTGAACTTGAACGTAACCAGATTGACGTCGCTGGAGCCTCTGTTGGCCAACCTTACCGCTCCGTCCCTGACGTTCTTGGACATTTCCCATAATCGCCTGAAGGGTCCCTTACCTCAAATCCGACAGACCTACCCAGAGCTGAAGACTTTCATTGCGTCTGATAACCGGTTCGCTTCCTTGACCTTTGAAGCGGTGCAAGGGTTGCAGGTTTTGGATGTTAGCAACAATGACATTGATTCCCTTCCCCCGAAGATTGGCCTGCTGGGTGCTGAACGCTCCCCTAAGAACTGGGGTAACGGATCAGCCCTGAGACGCTTTGAGGTAGCCGGCAACAAGTTCAGAGTGCCTAGATGGCAGGTAGTTGCCAAGGGGACTGATTCAATCTTGGAGTTTTTGCGAGACCGCGTTCCACTGAGTGAGCTCCCTGAATGGGAAAGAGACGAAGCCAGTGAGGAGGAGCTCTAGGAAGTGAGGACTAGCTCAGGCCATTATTTCGATTTGCGTGTATAATGAAAGGTTAACTTATCATTTTTGTTCTATGTACATATACATAATCTCTGTTTATGATTTTCCCGGGCATTTGTTCATCTCATCATTGGATTCCACACATATTTGTGACAGTCATCTCATTCAGTTCTCGTCAATTGGCTTGCTGACTTCATCAATGACCTTAAGCCATGTCTTTGTCCATGTGGTGAACTTGTCTGCTGTCTCATCGGAATCTGCTGCGGTAACCCAAGGTGACATCACCAAGTCCACTGCTTTTGTAGCACACTTGCGCGTCTTTTGCAAATATTGACCCCACTTGTCGAAATCGGCCTCGTATAATGCGCCAGCCGCCTCATCGACGTGGTCTGGGATAGCTTGTAGGTTCAGCATCAACAACTCCAACTTCTTGACACCAGACGGAGAGGACAACGGCGCATTTCCGGCATTCTTGAGACGGTTGTTGATGACAGCAGAGTAGACCTGAGCAACAGGCTTGAGGAACCGGATAGAGGACTTCTTGTGTTCCAGCAGGGCGGCGGTTTCTTCGGCGTCGTCATCATCGTCATCAGAGTCCTCGTCTTTGTCCTCCTTTCCATCATCACCTAGAAGCTCATCGAAGAAATCATCTCCATCTTCCTCAGGATCCCAGTCCTCGATTTCTTCAACCGCGTCGCGAACAAGATCTCTCCACTGCTCGACGCGGCGCATAACGAATCCAACCACGCCCTTGTTCGCGACATCAGTCACAGTATCACATGCATCCCAGACGCGACCAGTAGCAAGTGTAACTACATCCTTCTCAGCTTTGCTCAGATCGTTCTCTTTTCCGTTGTCCTTCTTCTCCTGATCCTTCTTCTCTCCAACGCGCTTGACCTCTGACACAAGATTCAGCAGCTCGGTCAGAGTTGTATTAACCAGAACAACAACTTCCGAGTTAAACGCTTTGGTGTATTGCGCCGGTGTAACAAGGAGGGCAGCGGTAACGATCGACGGCAGGACGGATTCATTCAGATCACGGAGCACGGTACAGATAGCCGAATGTGTGAACGGAGAGGTGATAGCAAGCAACGAGAGTTTTGTGACTTGAGCTTTGAGCGCGCTCGACGAGGCCGTTAGGAGGGGCAGGGCTTCCGCATCTTGCGCGGCGGCTTCGGCTGCTGCGGCGGTCGGTTGGGTCGTGAGGGCTGTTTGGAATTGTCCAATGAGGGCGAGAGTTGTGTCGAGTACGGCAGATAGTTGTGACATTGTGAGTTGTCGTGAACCTGCCACTGGTGGCTTCTTTGGAGGGGTCTGTTGTCGGGGAAAAATTTTGGGTTGGGTTTAACCTTGGCCGCGGGGCTGATTAGGGCTCTGCGGGGTCACCTGTGGTTTTGTTTGTATGTTCACAGCTGTTAAATAGGGAAATGATTGCATATAATTGCTTCTTCTGAATTATATTGATTGGATCAGTATATACTGCGATTTTCAATTGTATTGACTCAATCATGGTCGAATGATTGCAGTAAATGGGTTTCTTATACGGAATAGTATAGTACGGCTTTCGCCGCCTACCATAACCTGCACTGACTTCTGTTGAATGATCGCAAAAGGCCAAAGAAGAAACTGTTTAAACTATTGCTAATTCAGATTTGGTAAATATACAGGGGACTCACAGTCAGGCTTCACACTCACGCGCAAGCAACTGGGTATTCTCCGTAGAACAAACTTCAAAGTCACAGAGCGAGTCCTACTACAACACCCATGCTACTAGGTATTGGTTCTGAATGAGATACCAGGTAGCTATCAAAGCTACTGTATAAATAATAGATAATTATTAAAGGCATTGGAATAGCAATAGCCCTGGAGAGCTCAGAGTATAAGATTACCTAAGCAGATATTTTCAGTCAAACGAGACAAACACCTCATCATTGCATCCATCCGAGCTTCGCGCAGTCCCAAGCTCTTTGCCAAACAACCAGCAATTATGGGAACATCCAGACCTCGCGCCCCCCCAAAGGCGCCTGCGACACCTGCAAAGTCCGTAGAGGTGTCTCGACACTTGCCCGACAAGACCTTCGTCATCGACAATGGCGCCTACATGATCAAAGCGGGCTACGCCTCTGATCTCCCACCCGAAGAAAGTGTTTCCGCCTGTACCTCGATCCCCAATACCCTCGTCAAGACGCGTGATAACAAAATCGTCATTGGCTCCCAGCTGTCGACAGTAACCGACTGGAATGAGGCCATGTTCCGACGCCCGTTGGAGAAGGGATATGTTTCGAACTGGGAAGCGGAGAGAGAGATTTGGGACCAGTCGTTTTTTGATGAGAAAGCATCGGCTCGGAATAAGAATACTCGGATTGCTGATCCCGAGAATACTACACTTGTGCTTACTGAAGCGCCGAATGCTCTGCCTATTCTGCAACGACACTCGGACGAGATGGTTATGGAGGAATGGGGATTCGGGGGATATGTGAGGTGCATAGGTAAGATGGTCTGGTTACTTGATGCTCTCTGGACTCTGGTGCTGACTTGAAGCTCCTTAGGCCCGACCCTTAATGCGTGGAACGAAATTCATACTCTCTTCGGCGACCCTCTCACCACGACACCAGACTCAACTCCTCTGCCCGCAGACTGCTTATTGGTCGTCGATTCTGGCTACTCGCACACAACAGTGACTCCGGTTTACAAAGGTCAAGCTCTGCAACGTGGAGTGCGAAGACTCGACCTAGGAGGCAAGCACCTGACAAACTATTTGAAGGAGATTGTGTCAATGCGCCAGTACAACATGGTTGATGAATCATACATCATGAACGAAGTCAAAGAGGCAGTTTGCTATGTAAGCAACGACTTTGCCGGGGATTTGGAGCAAACGTGGAAAGCAGACCGGAAGCGCCAGGCCAGTTCTGAAGAAGGAATTGTGCTAGACTATGTGCTCCCTGACCCTAATGCAAACAGAAAGGGTTTCAGCAGACCGCACGACCCACTTTTGCAAGTTAAAAAGAAGAAAGGAGCGCTATCTGGCCTCAGTGCTGAAGTATTATCAGAGGATGTACTCGTGCTGGGCAATGAACGCTTCGCTGTTCCAGAGATCCTATTCACCCCAAGTGATATCGGGATGAAGTCGGCTGGTATACCCGAAATAATCCTTCAAAGCTTGTCGGCTCTTCCTACCGGCCTGCACTCTGCATTCCTGGCGAATGTGATGGTTGTTGGCGGGAATGCCTTGATTCCAGGCTTCATGGAAAGACTGTAGGTTTCTGAAAGTCTAAGCACGTTTAACTCAACTAACGAACTATACTTTGCAGGGAAACTGAGTTGCGGCAAATTGCATCTGCCGAATGTGTGGTGAGAGTGCGCCGGGCTACTGAGTGAGTTATCATACTTTCTGTTACAAGGTTGCATCGAGCGCTAACATTTTTCGCTAGTCCTGTCCACTCAACATGGCTTGGAGCCTGTCGTTTCGCCACAAACAGAGAGGAAATCAGCAGAGTAGCCATTTCTCGTCAAGAATACCAAGAATATGGATCTGGATGGGCTGGTCGACGGTTCGCCGGCCTTGTATAACATGTCAATTACAGTGCGGCAGGATTGGGATTGAGTACTGTGGGAGTTTACGGTGGCCAAAATCGACAGCATCAGGAGCATTAGTGATACCCTAGTTTTCAATGTTGGTGTTTGGTCAATATGATTGCAACAATTTATACTTTCAAAAAGGCCTGACCATGTCGCCGTTAGCATGACGAAGTAATTTGTCGCTCTTGTCTTCATTAGGGCTGTCATGTTAAGCTTCTCGAAAATTGCTGTAAAAGGATTTGCTGTCCCGTGGATACATCCCAACTCTTATTTCCCTAAGCTAGAGAACGGATGTCGGCTTCATCCTATAACTCGAATCAATACAAAGGAAGTGAAGTCTTGGATGACCATATGTTCTTCTGAATAGCCGTCTTCATAAATAGCCAAAATATGACAATACCCCCAACTGTAGCAGCCGTCAGCCAGCGCTTATTAGGGCTACCTCAGGAATACAAAAACAATGTTTGCTTATCCTTGGTTACCCTTTATGATGCCAAAGGCTCAGCCTGGGAGATGTGGCCATTCTGATCTGCGGTGTCTTATAAGGAGCTGCCCCGGCCCTATCTTACATACTAGGCCGTTATTTTCAACAAATTATCTTCCCCTGAAGCCCCAGACAGATAAATTCGCTGTCAAGATTATACCACGTCTTTCGAAGGGTGGGTTACCAAATTCACGCTCGTCCTAATGTTTCCAAGTCGCCTGGGCAGATTCCTCAAGAGAATCCAGAAAATCTCCGGGGACGAACAAGAGTTAGTATGTGGAAAAATCTTCCAAAATTCAAGAATATTTACTCTATACAGATGCGCAAGCTGTTGCCAGGAAGTCCAAGCCGGCAAATCACTAACAGCCCCATGTGGACATAACTTCTGCAGAACGTGCCTCCGACAAATGGCATTAACAGCCCTGGAAACCACAGACCAATTTCCGGTGAAATGCTGCGGGAAAGAGATTCCACCGATAGCAGTCATCAAAGCCCTAGGCTCTCGAAACAGAAGACGCTATATCGCCCGATCAGACGAGTACGCAATCCCACCCTCTGAGCGCTTGTACTGCCCCCGAACGAAATGCGGACGATGGATCAACCCCAAGTACCAGATCAATCGCTTGACCCATAAGGTTTGTCCTTACTGCCGGGTGAAGATCTGCCCGAGTTGTCGGGATCTGGTGCATGGTACCAGGGAGTGTTCGTATGATCCTGGTCTTCAGTCTGTTTTAGAGTTGGCCAAGAATGAGAATTGGCAGCGGTGTTTTGGATGTCATGCTGTTGTTGAGAAGGTCTACGGGACGTGTGACCATGTCGTTTGCAGGTGTCGAACGGAGTTTTGGTATGTTCATCTGTCCAAGGTTGGCCCGAAAGGAACCCAGTCAATGCTGTTTGCTAACCAACTAAGTTACCAATGCGGTGCCCGTTATAGGAGTTGCAATTGCTCTGGAGCCCCTCGGGGTCAGGAAAATGTGGTTGTTGCAGATGCGGATCTCGATGTTAATATACTGGTTGCTGCAATGGAGGGTTTGGACTGGGAAGGGGAAAACTAATATTGTTGGGGGATTGACAAGGGTTTGGATCAGATCAACTTTATATTTTCTATCAGAAAAAGTCACAGGAGGGGTATCGTGCTTGAAATGATTTTCCTCCCTCACACAGGAACGACGCCTAGTAGTCGTAGAATCCCTTTCCACTCTTCTTGCCTAGCCAGCCGGCATCCACCATCCGGCGCAGAAGACCGGCAGATCTATACTTGCTGTCACCAGTCTCCTGGTGCAAGACATTCATGATTGCGAGGCAGGTGTCCAGGCCGATGAAGTCGGCCAAGGTCAATGGACCCATCGGGACGTTGGTGCCTGTCTTCATGATATTGTCAATATCTTCCCGGCCACCGACACCAGTCTCCAGGCAGATAATTGCCTCGTTGATGTAGGGCATAAGGATCCGGTTGGCCAGGAAGCCAGGTGAGTCGGCTGACACAGAGGCGACCTTGCCCATGCGCTGGACAAAGGCAATGGCCGTGTCCATTGTTTCCTGAGAGGTTTGCAGGCCACGAATAATCTCCACGCCCTTCTGGATGGGGACAGGGTTCATGAAATGAGTGGAGATCACTCGAGACGAAGCTTGCAGATCGGTGGGATCCGCACTCGTCGCAGCGGCAATCTTGGTGATGGAAATTGAAGAGGTGTTCGTGGCGAGGATGGCATGCTTCGGGGCGATCTGAGCCAAGCTGGCAAATATCTTTGTCTTCAGATCCACGATCTCAGGGACCGCCTCAATGACGAAGTCGACGGAGGAGAGGTCGTCCATCTTGAGAGTGGGTATCAAAAGTCCACGGGCTGCGTCTGCGGCCTCACGAGTGAGGCGCTGCTTGGAGACATCCTTCTCAAGCAGCTTATCTGGAGTTTAATGCTGTGTTAGGAACTCTGGTGATAGCAGCGACTAGTGGAGCTCGGCGTACCGGCAAACTTGAGGCCCTTATCCAACGATGCCTGAGAAGTATCGACAAGGGTTACGGGGACCTGTGCTTTCTGTGCAGCAACAAGAGCAATTCCAAGACCCTATAATTGTGTTAGGCCGCTAGTCGGGCTCTGAATAGCATCTTACTCACCATCTGGCCGGCACCGATCACACCAAGTGACTTGACCTCGGCTGCATGAGCTGCGGAGGTGGAGCTAAAGCTGCGGGCCACCACGGGACCCCGTTGTGAGAGGGAACGAAGTGTCGAGGTAAGCATGGCTATGTTTGAATGCTTCAAGCTATATAGAAAGAATATATGAATGTGAAAGGTGAGTGTGAAGAAGCAATGGTTATACTGCAATGACTTCACGTGCTTCCCGACGCCAATGTGTAGTAGAAAATAGCGGCCATTTAGTCTTGCGACTCACCGCCTTACAGCTGTTTACACATGGTTTCATTCTGGACATGTAATCTGCTTCACCCACTACCGACTTCATACTAAAAGCTGTCAATTGATTAAGAATAGGCTATATAAATATGACATATGCGAGCTTGGGGTATGAGATTAGCATTGTATAGTACTACGAAGTGTAAGATTATACGCACCAGCTTGGAAGTCGGCCATTTCGACGGGGTAAGATTCTCTCACGGAAATACGAGTAGGTAATTGTAGTGTAAATCAATGTTATATTTTCTCAGCAAGAGTGCCCACACCCAGGAAGAGTGCTACAGCAATGCTATAAACGAGACATGCGTAGTAAGGACCATATCTATAGAGCTGATATTCTGCCAGACAAACAGGACAAATGGCCGCAATATCTTGCGGTAAGAGCATCGGTTATCTTCGGTATTCTGGCGGCATCCAGTTTCTCCGAATCGCCGATGCCGAGCACGCGTCGACGCGTTGCCATTTCGTACGCTTTGGGAAGCAAATTGATACCAGCCCACCATGGATGAAGAGGTTGTCCCTCTAGGCCACGACGTGCAGGTCGTCGACCCAGACGTGCGAGGCTATGTTTATGGCCTGGTCACTGCTGTGAGTTCTTTCATCTTGCCTCGTCTGGTTTAATTTACTGATGCGGTCAATCCTTAGCTCGGAGGTTTTAACGGCGAAGATGCCGATCGATATGTGCTCGGAGATGACGCCTTGGCCTGTTTACGCGATATCAAACGATGGCTGAAATTGTATGACGAGAAGAACAATCGCATGGACGTTGCGCGGTGCCTGGGAGAGGCTAACTTGATCAATGGAGATCTACTTCCGATCCTTGCGCTCTGGTGGACTACGGGACAGAAGAGCAAGCATATGACGAGGATTTCCCTGGCGTGTTTGGAACTTCTTGTCCCATTGACTTGGCCGGTAGAGTTCCACAGCCAGATGACGGTCAACCACCATCGCCATACCCCCTACATCCAACAAACCCAGGTCCAGTACAAACGAGGTATCCTCAAATATGGAGGATCGACTCTCTTACGCGCCGTTATTCGAATTGCCCTTCCTAGCATGGTGACTGCTCGATCCGAACGCGAAGCACGAGACGAAGGAATCCTCAAATTGATGCTGTACTTCCTGCGAAACATTGCGATCATTTCCCCGAACACTCGGCTTGCTGCAGAAGGCGAAGAGGAGGAAACATCCAGATCAGCAACGATCAACGCTTTCCATGACCAGGATGCATTTGCGCTTCTCTTGACTATGTGCTCGAATGTTGGCGATGACTTCAACCTTCAAGATATTATTCTGATGGAGATCATTTTCCACATTGTGAAGGGTGTCAATGTCGAGAAGCTGTTTATGGACGATGATCAGAGAAAGGCAAAACGGACCGACGAGCTTAGCGATCTCCTGAAGAAGGAAAACTCGGTACGACGGGAGTACGCAAAGAACGCCCCGACACGCCATGGAAGATTTGGTACAATGATCTGGGTCAAGCGAGATGATGCGAAGGTGTCTACGGTCTCCGGACAAGATGTTTTGCGGGACGACCAGACTACTCTTCACAAGATGGACCAAAGCAAAAAGTGGAACAAACCCAAGCCTCGGCGCAAGCAAGAAGACGCTGTTCAAAACAGCAACTTCAACATGCCCGCTCATTTGAATTCGGAGGCAACTAAGAACCTACGGACTTTTGTTGAAGAGTTCCTGGATTCTGGATTCAACCCTCTTTTCACCCACGTGCGGAAAGCCATTGAACGCGAAGCCGAACGAGTACTAGATATCAACACCCGCCAATTCTTCTATACGGTTGGATGGTTCCTCGAGGCGGAACGTGTAAGGAGGGCCCGACAGTCCCGTCAGCGCACCGCCCAAAATGGAGGAAGGACCAAGGATATTGAGCCGGATAGCTATGGCTTGGTCGCTGGAGTCCTAAACCAAGAGACCTTCATCTCCCTGAACCGGGCTATGCAGAACAGCTTGGACAATAAGGAATGGCAAGATCTTAATGCTCAGATGCGCTGCTTCACTCAGATTCTGTTGACCGTGCAGGAAATGGCTGTGTCACCGCTTGAGGAAGATCAGGAGATTGCCGAGAACATCCAAAACCGAATCTTCTACGAAGAAACAACACATGACCGAATTCTGGCAATCGTCCGAGGATACAAAGATCAAGGGTTCGGTTACCTGGATGCATGCACAGAACTTGCTCATGTCTTCTTGCGGATGTTGGAACGCTACTCCAAACTCAACGCCGACATGCAGATTCGATCCCGCCGGAAGGCCAAGCGCAAGCAGAAGAAGGCCGATAAAGGCACGGAAGATGGAGCAGATGATGACGAGGAACGCGACTCCGAAGCCGAAGACGAGGTGGAAGCCGCTCAGGTCACCAAAGAGCGCAGCTTTGACTTCAAGCGGTTTGCGGCCAAGTTCTGCAACCAGAGTTGCGTGGATACGTTTGTTGCATTCACGGGCTTCTACAAAGAGCTTAACTCGGAGCAACTCAAGCGTGCCCACCGCTACTTCTACCGCATTGCGTTCAAGCAGGAGATGACTACCTTGCTATTCCGCGTTGATATTATCAGTCTATTCTACCGAATGATTAAGGGCCCGGGACCAATGGACTCAAGCGATTCTGTCTTTAAAGAATGGGAAGAGCTCGTGCGGCAAATTATTCGACGGATGATCAAGAAGCTCGACCAACGTCCGGCCTTGATTACTGAAATGTTGTTCAGTAAGATCAACTCGACTGTTTACTACCTTGAGTTTGGACACGAAAAGCAAACATCGTACCAGTCCAAGCGACCACCGGCGGAGCTCATTATCACATCACCCGAGGCGACAACCAAGGAAGCCGAGTTGAAGATTGTGGTTGGAGCCCTTGTTCTTGACGGGAGAGCAGATCTGGTGAAATGGATCGTTGATGTCTTGAGCTCGGGAGCTTCTGAAAGAGAGGCCTGGGAAGCCCAAGATGAAATTCGGCAGGCCGAGTCTTCCGAGGCTGTCAGCGTCCCTAACCCACTGATTAGTATGTTCTCTGCTACACCGATTCCAGGATAAAACTAACTGTACTATAGCCGTCAAAAGCAAAGACGAGGCTTGCAAGAGTGCCATGTTCTCAAATGCTAGGCTGCGTCTACTGATGAAGCTCGTTGGTTTCGAGCGACTGGGCGTCGAAGACGTGGTTGGTGCCGCTTGGGTTATTCCGGCGTCTCAGCAGTCTAAGGACCTGCATGAATCTATCTCGGAAATCCAAAAGGCCCTACAAACACCATTCTCCGGGGATGGCGATGATGATCCTCGTAAGCATCTTACACAAAAGAAACCAGGAGGTCCTCGGGCCACGGTTCAGGGTACGCTCGATGTTAGCTTCGGATCCGACTCGGAAGGCGAGGATGTGGTTCCAGATGGAATCTTGTTTCCGCCAAACCCGCGGTCAAAGGCCAATGCGCTAGACCAGCTGAAGAAGAAGCGCAAGAAGAAGTCCAAAGATACAGAGCCTGAATTGGACGACGAAACTCTGCAGGCACGACGTGATGCACGTCTATCAAACGCTCTTTCTCGCCAGGCGAAGATCAAGAGTGATCTTTTCATCCATGCCAGTGATGAGGAGAGTGACGAGGAAGCAGACAAGGAATTCTTCCGCCTCGAAGAAGAGCGACGAAAGAAGCACGATGCGGCAGTCAAGCACGCCATCCGTATTGGTGCCACAGATACATCAAGCAAGGGCAAACGCAAAGGCAAGAAAGCCGCCGGACGCAAGCGAAGCGACACAGGCGGTTCTGCAACCGCTAAAAACAAGCGACAGCGCCGTGATCCTGGTTCTGCCGGAAGCGATGCCGACAGTGATGCCGATGCTGATGGCGACATCCTCATGGCAGAGCTTGATGCTCAGTCTTCGCACTCTCAGCAGGAAGTCTCTACTAGCCTCGGTGCTGGAGAGGACGACGACACCCCTCTCACATCTGGTGAAGACGATCTTGCTTTCGATGATGATCTTGCGTTCATGCGTGACCGTCCGAGTAAACCCAAACCTCCAGCACCCGAGAATGATGCTGAAGATGAGGATGTTCCTGTGGCTGCATCTCGAAGACGTATGCGCGGAGGGTTTGTGATTGAGAGTGACTCGGAATGATCACCGTCATTCATATTTGCGACATGTTATGATCTGATGAGGCGTTTGGCATATGTATTGTAAAGCATCGGATACTCGGATACCTAGGTTCAGTGAGAATACGAACACTTCATGACTTAACGTTCATATTCTACAAGCTAGAGGGGCATTAGGGCCGTCTCAGCAATATGTAATCACTATAGAGACCGTCAACTCGAGGTCCGTGCTAGTGAGGTTTCAATCAAAGTTCTATTAACCTGTTGGAGCCTAAACTAGTGAGATTTAAATACGAGCTTCCCCCCTCTGCACATCCATCTTTCACTTTTCCACCTCTGCACTATCAATAAGCATGAGCTCCCTAAGCACCAAAACCCTAACAGCAAAATGCCATTGCAACAACGTACAATTCACAATAACCCTCCCAACAACATCCCTCCCCCTCAAAACACACATCTGCCACTGCAACATCTGCCGCCACGTCCATGGCACACCATGTATCTTCCACGCACCACTACCAGAAGGAATAACACCCCAATTCATCAGCCCATCCAGCATGGATAACTTAACAGGCTACAACCACGCTTCGGCACTAGGAACACGCCACTTCTGCAGTACATGCGGCTGCCACGTCGGCGATCTAGGACTAGACGATGGAAACTGGACAATATCCACAGCGATCTTCACAGAACCAAATACCGGGCTGTGGGAGATGAGGTCGCATTGCTTTACGAATTCATCAGCTGATGGTGGTCTCTCAGCTATATTTTCGCATATTGATGGTCGGCGGCTTGGGTTCTTTAACCCGGAGGATACATCCTCTGGCTTGACGAAGGACGTCGGTAGAGATATCCGAACCGATGAAGCAGAGTCTACTTCCGAGGGACTACTCGCTGAATGCCAATGCGGCGGCGTTTCCTTTACCATTTCCCGTCCTCGAGAAGAATTCATCGCCAGTCCTGCAAGTGAAGGATGGTTACACTCATCTGATACGAGTAAATGGCTTGCACTTCTTGATCTATGTGACGATTGCCGCCTCACTTCTGGAACAAATGTCATGGCTTGGATGTACGTTCCGTTGGATCATATATCGCCCCACATATCGGCAGACTTGGCTATTGGGTCATCGAAGAGTTACAGATCGAGTAAAGGTAGGCTGCGGACGTTCTGTGGGACTTGTGGCGCGACGGTGTTTTATATTTCTGATACTCGGCCTTCGGTTGTCGATGTGGCGGTTGGAATTTTGCGTGCGCCGGAGGGGACGATGGCTGAGAAGTGGGCTATCTGGAGGGCTGGGAGAATTGCAGCTGCTAATAGTGGATTGAAGTATGATCCTGGATTTAGTAAGGCGCTTATTGAGGGAATGGCGAGATGGGGTGGTGAGCGCGGGATGCCGGAGGATTTTGTAGTGCCATAGATGCAGAGAGAGAAGTTCATAGACCATCCAGTATCAAGGGAATTAAGGGACTTAACAGATGCCGAGACCCACCACTCTTCAGCCGTCATTTTATGGACTGTTATGGAGTATCTGAAATAGCCGCTATGAGTCAACAGGGTATAGTGGGGAGTATAAGAAGCGTCCGCATCCACAACCTCACATCTACATTCCCTCCACCTCAACCTCTTCAATAGACAACATTCACATTCACCACAATGACCCACCTAAACTTCGTCACCCTAGATGTCTTCACATCAACCCCCTACAGTGGCAACCCACTAGCAGTAGTCTTCCTCCCAGAGGACCCAGCCCATGCTCTAACCCAACGCCAGAAGCAAACCCTGGCACAAGAATTCAACCTCTCAGAAAGCATTTTCGTGCACCCAGTGACAGAAGCCACAAAACGTACCATCGACATCTTCACCACAGACTGCGAAATCCCCTTCGCAGGCCACCCCACCATCGGCGCCGCATCCTGGTTCCTAACCCACTCAGCCAACCCAGCCGACGGCCCGGGCGTCACGACATTGGCCACTAAATCTGGCGACATCCCCATCTCTATTCAGGACGCCGCGAGCAAGTACGTCGCCGCGCAGATTGCGCATAACACGCACATCCACGGCGCACGGTTCGGCGTTAAGGAGTTGTTGCGGTTGCATCCGACTCTGGCGCCTTTCTTCCCCGAGGATGATGTGACGTTCCCTTTGTTTTCTGTTGTCAAGGGGATGAGTCAGTTGTTTGTTGAGTTGGGGTCTTTGGAGGCTTTGGCTGCTGTTACGCCAGCTACGGGTGGTGAGCTTGTTTCTAGCGAGTATCTTGATGAGGGGTGGAGGGCTGGGTTAGTTTGTGTTTATTTCATTGTTAGGGGCGTTTGGGATGATGTTTTGGGGAGGGAGGTTATTCGGGCTAGGATGATGCTGGGCACCTTGGAGGATCCTGCTACTGGTAGTTCGGCTAGTGGGTTGGCTGCTTATTTGAGTCTTACGGAGGGACGGGCTGGGCAGGATTTGGATTATCATGTTGTGCAGGGTGTTGAGATGGGGCGGAGGAGTGATATCGGTGTTGGGGTTTCTCTTGATGGTGAGAAGAAGATTGAGAAGGTTGTTTTGACTGGGACTGCTGTTAGTGTTTCTGAGGGTAAGGTGTTGGTCCCTCAGGCTTGAATATAGCAGTGTGCAGAGCTAGAATGGAGCTTTAGACAAAACTTGATATATCGCGGCTTCATCCCTTGATTAGTACTTGGAGACTATAGCAGCTACCTAATAATGAGCTTGAATTCGGAACGTAGATTCATGATATCGTGGAAAGATCGAGTTATATAGCCCAATTTAGAGCTTCTTCTCCTCAACCAACTGCCTCAACACCTTAATAGTCCCCTCAACGGCCATCTGGCTCATCGTCCTCTCCTTCTCAGCCAACGCAGCCAGTTCCTCCTTGGAAACCCCGGGGTGCCTCCACTCAAACATGTAAGTCATATAAAGCTCTCCATCAGCCCCCTCACTGATCACATTATTGATCTTGCTCCCTTCGGACTGCACAAACTCCACACGGCTAGCCTCAAACGCGGTAACAGTTTCTTGAACTGCCTTCTGAGATTCACGGAAAAGGACTTCACGGACGGTCACGGGGTTGCCGTTGTCATCGTAGGATTCGCTCACGACCTTTGTGGATTGGATCGCTGCTGGGACGAAGGTTTCTGCGCTGCGGATTTTGAGGAGGAGCCCGTTCCAGATTTGGTCCACAGTTAGGACGGGGGAATGTCCTGGTGGGTTGATCGGGGCTGTGAAAGCGATGTTGTTTGTGGATGGCATGGTAGAAGTATGTTTAAATGACTTGAATATGACAAGAGTATACTTGGGTATGACTTTACAAAAGTGTCAGATCGTCTCTTTTATGTCTGGGGAATGACGAAACCGATAAGCCGATAAGTAAGCTCGGCCTTTCCGCACGCCGACCTGCTTACTCATTGTCGGGCCTTCAGTTTCCTCAGACCGTGGAACTATACTCTTATGGAACGAAGTAATTGTTTTGCTTACAATGTAGAAAACGAAGACGGAAAAGAAAGGCTAGAGTATAACCGAACGGACTAAATAGTTATAGATTGAGTTATCAACAAATCGTAAATAAAAAGGTCTATCACAGGCTATCACAGGCTATCACAAAACATCCCACTTATGTGTACTTAGGAACATTATTCCTAACCTATGGCCTTACACCACGAAGAACGACCCCATCCTGGGCCGTCTCAATATTTCAACTAGCTGCAGATAGGCATAGTAGAAGCAAGCTCATTGGCGACATGCGCCCCACGAAGCCCAAAGAAGGCAATGAACGACACATTTGCGCCATTCCGTAACAGCTGGCATCTTATTATCTCCAGCAAACTACAGACTTGTGTGGATACAGAGGAAATTTCGACAAGCTCGTATTTATTCAGGGGTGACCTATCTCTTCCCCAAGGCTACCAATCCTTGCATCTTGACGCCACTACCCCCGCTTGAAGCAAACAACCCTGGCAGAATGCCTGAACTCACCACAAACCAGGGCTATCAACTCGGCGTAGACGTCGGAGGCACATTCACAGACGTCTACGTATTCACCCCGCACGGCGAAACAGTGCGAGCAAAAGTTCCAACAACAATCCCAGACCAAAGCATAGGAATCCAGAACGGAATTTCCAAAGCCCGCGAGATATTGAAGAGCACATTCGACTGGTCGGGTAAATTCCAATTCATCCACCATGGCACAACAACAGCTACAAATGCCGTTCTTGAAGGAAAGGGCGCCCGCACGGCACTCGTCGTCACAGCCGGACATAAGGATATCCTGGCTCTGCGCCGGTCTCAGATTCCTGGTGGATTAGGTGCCTGGTTGCATTGGACACCCCCTGAGCCAATTGTTCCGCTTGAGCGGGTCGTGCAGTGTAAAGAGCGGATGTCTGTACAGGGTGAGACGGTTTTGCCTGTTGATATTGAGGATTTGCGGATGAGTTTGAGGGAATTGGCTCTGCAGAAGCCCGAGGCGGTGGCCATTTCGTTGCTTAACTCACATAGCAATGATGCACACGAGCGGACCGTTAAAGAGATTGTTCGTGAAGAGCTTGGGTCTGATATTGCTGTTATTTGTTCGGCGGATGTCTTGCGCGAAGTTGGCGAGTATGAGCGTACAGTAACGACTTGTACGAATACGCTTGTAAAGCCGGTTGTGCAGACTTATCTGCACAATTTGTCTGAGGTGCTTGCTGCGGAAAGTGAGACGATTCGGGTCCTTAAGAGTGATGGTGGTTTGACTAGTTTGACCCTTGCCTCAGAGCTGCCAGTTAATATTCTGATGTCTGGGCCTGCTGGGGGTGTTAGGGGAGTCGCGGATGTTGTGGCTCGAAGTACACCATACAAGAATCTGATCACGCTGGATATGGGAGGGACATCAACTGACTGTGCGCTGATCTACAATGGTCAACCTCAGCTCCGACGTGAGACCGTTGTCGGGAGTCTCTCTGTACGTGCCCCGGCGGTTGATATCAAGACAGTCGGAGCAGGAGGTGGCTCAATAACCACCTATATGGAGCTCACGGAGACACTGCGAGTTGGACCAGAAAGTGCTGGTGCGGCGCCGGGTCCTGCATGTTATGGGAAAGGTGGAAAGCAAGCCACAGTCACAGACGCAAACCTAGTCTTGGGATATCTTCCAAAGACATTACTGGGAGGTGATTTTGCACTTGATGTGAAAGCAGCCACAGCAGCTGTTGAAGAGATCGCGACACAAATGAAGCTCCCCGTTACCCAGACAGCCGAGGATATTATCACGATCATCAACGAGACAATGTACGGAGCTCTGCGTCTCGTTTCTGTCGAGCAGGGCTACGACCCCCGTGAATTTGCGCTCGTTGCTTTTGGCGGTGCTGGTCCTTTGCATGCCAATGCGGTTGGACAGCTTCTCGGAGCTTGGCCTGTTATTATTCCGCCATCGCCCGGTATCTTGTGTGCGCAGGGTGATGTGACAACCAAGCTTAGACATGAGCAGTCGGCTACATTCATCCGCCTGGTCTCCGGAACAGATGTTGCTGAGGCTCGGGAGCAGTATGACATCCTCGAGCAAACATGTCATAAGACTCTGCAAAGATCGTCTGGAGAGAAGTGGCCTGTTACTTGGAAGGCTGAATACCAGGCAGACCTTCGATATAAAGGACAGGCTTTAACCATCACTATTGATCTCACGGCCGAGGATTTGGCTCTTGATACGAAGGGTTGGCATAATCTGTTACGACGAAAGTTTGATCAGCAGCATCAGCAGATGTTCACTTACTGCTTGCCGGACTTTGAGCTGGAGTTAATGCGACTTGGGGTTGTGTTGGAAGATGCTTCTCCCAGTATTGATATTCCTCAAGTTGGAAAGGCTTCAAGTCCTCCCCCTGATGCCAAAATTGGAGAGCAGACAATTGTCGTGCAAGGCAAAGAGCAATTGGCAACCTTGTGGGACCGTCAGAAAGTCACCAAGGAGGGCATCCGACTGACCGGGCCATGTATCATTTCCGAGATGGACAGCAACACACTCATCTTGCCAGGATATTACGGTGAAATTGACAGCATCGGAAATATTTTGATCAATCCACTGGACAGAAAACCTGCGGTCCCAACAAATCACACAGCGGAATCAGCCAAGGAGCTCGTTGAAAGCACTCCACTAGTTCCAACATTGATTTCCTCGACTCTGGCATCCATCCGCAGTGAAATGGACCAGATGATGCTACGGTGCAGCATGTCACCTGCCATCCGAGAACAGCAAGACGAATTTAACGTCATTACTGACTGCGAGGGCAAGATGTTGGTAGGCCAATTTGGAAGTTTCATCACCCAATTCTTGGAAGTATGGAATGGCACCATCGAAGAGGGAGACGTATTCATCACCAACGACACCTATCAGGTACAGGGTGCTATTAGCCACCTGAACGATGTGATTGCATTCCTTCCCATATTCCACGAGCATCGCCTTATTGGTTGGGCATCTCAATTCGGACATTTGACAGATGTCGGAGGCGTCGTACCTGGAAGCATGTCGATCAATGCAACCTCTGTGTTCGATGACGGCGTCCAGATCCCCTGCATCAAGCTGTACACCCGTGGTGTCATGAATGCAGATCTAGTAGATCTCCTATGCCGGAACTCCCGCCAGCCGGCATGGTACCGCTCCGATCTGACGGCTATTGTAGCATCATGCTCTATGGCAGCCACCCGTACGCGCGAGTTAGCAACTCGGTTCGGGAGCGAGGTGTACCTGGCAGCATGTGCAGAGCTGCTCTCCCGCAATCGCAATGGCTTTGCAAAGATTATTGAGCGACAGTTTGATGATCTGGAAAGTAAATTCACCGATTTCGTCGACGATGACGGGCACGGCGTCGGGCCATGGGCTCTTACCTGTTCTATGAAGAAGGTAGAGGGGAATCGGCTGAGTTTCGACTGGAGCGGTACTTCACCCCAGAGTCAGCATAGTATCAACTTCTACCTCTCGGAAACAATGTTCAAGATGTTCATCGGATACTACCTCATTGCAGCAGCAGCTCCAGGCACAGTCATCAATGACGGCTTCCACGATCTGATCGACGTGAATATCCCCCAAGGAAGTGTCCTGCGACCTGTGCGCCCTGCGCCAATTTCTTGCCGCACTCACTTCCTGGGCCGTACTTTGGATATCGTGCAGGCATTGATCGGTCAGAAACAGGACTCCTACCAGGCTGCAGCTGGCTTCAGTGATTCGCCACACTTCTTCTATTCCGGATTCAAGCCTGATGGAGAATGGTATCAGCTGTATCAAATCGGGTTCGGAGGTGTTCCTGCTCGCCAGGCTGGCGATGGACCCGATTGTCATTGTCTTTTCCCTGCTATTAAGTCCATACCCACCGAGAGCATCGAGTTGAATTACCCATTGCGCATCGAGGTAAATGAGAGTGTCGCTGATAGCGGTGGTCCTGGATTTTATCGCGGTGGAAATGCACAGCGCACCTTGTACCGGTTCCTTGCTCGTGGGGAGTTTAGTCTGCATGATGATCGGTGGTTCACGAAGCCGTGGGGATTGAAGGGTGGGAAACCTGGACAGAGATCGCGCAAGATATTATACCGCCATTCTCAATCTGCTGAGGCCACTCCGGAGATATTGCCTTCGAAATGTGATCATGTTCGTGTTGATCCAGGTGATTTGCTCGAGTGGATCACTTGGGGTGGAGGTGGTCTTGGGGATCCGTTAACTCGCCCAGCTGAGAAGGTTGCTCTTGAAGTTCATCGGAAGCTTGTCACGATTGATGGAGCTCGTCATGGATATGGAGTTGTTGTGAATGGCGATTTCACTGTTAATGAAGCTGAGACTGCGGCTCTTCGGAACCTGATGAGGGTAGAGCGTGCTCAGCTGGAAGAAAGTCCGATCTACGACCGCGGTGGCAGTCTCGAAGAGCTCCGGGGGACATGTCTGCAGGAGACTGGGTTGGAGGCTCCCATTCCGCAGTGGGAGACAGATATCTATGGTCCCCATGCCGGATTGGCATACGTAAAGGACTGGTATACCGAAATGAGGACCCAGAAGGATTGGAAATTGGACTGAAAGATGTATATACTTATGAAGAGTACATAACATCCGACCTCATAGTACACTTCACCCCCCTAAACACATCATCCCCACTATGCATAAGGTTTCTCTGTTGAAAAATCAACACAGAGCCCGTCTTAGGAAAAACCCGCACAGAATCCTTAGCTCTGAAGCCATCCCGAAACGAAGTCGCACCCCCAAGAAGCGTCTCACTCTTCTCGAGAGACTGCTTAGCTGGAAGGAAGCCCCCATCTCCGTCTCCAACTTCAACCTGTTCAGCCCCAACCTCTTTAAGATCAATCTCACCATCTTCCTCAAACAAATAATACTTCTTCTCCGCCTCATCAATATACGGCTGTAACTCCTCCATATCCTGCTCCCCCTCTCCATTCAAATACAAATGAATCGTATAAAGAGACTTTTCCTTCTCATCTGGCGTAACATACCGCCCATCCACATGAGGCCGGAAATAATCACCACCCTCATAGCGCAGGAATCTCAATCGCTCATTGAGTCGACTGATATTGTATACCTCCCGACGTTTCGCAGGCCCGAGACCTGTAACAGAAGGTTTATCTTTGATTTGATCGATTTCGCATTCGCGCACGAATGGCATGAGTCGGTGGAGTAGTCTCTGTGCGATCTCCGGGGAGTCGAATATAATGCGACCGCTTTTGCGAGAGTCCACCGACATGACTTCTTTCCCGTTGCCGGCATTGACCATGGCTCGTTCCCATTTTGGGGGTGACAGCGTTGAGTCTGGGAGGTTAGTTCTTGTTGATTGTTCTGCTAGGTGGAGGAGGTCTTTGCATTCGGACTCTGTCATGAAGTTGTCGATGATTGCTGCGAAGTTGTTTTTGTATGCGAGGATAGCTGGCTTTGTGTGTTCGAAGTTGATTTTGTGGAGAGTTGCGTTCGGGGATGGGCTCCTGAGGAAGTTTTCTGGGATTGAGGCCATGATTCTTGCAAGGTCTGAAGAAGTCGAATGTTGACAGGGGAGGCTTTCTAGCCTTCCGGCCCCCACGTTGAGGTTCTGCTCTGAAGTGGGGCCTGACTTTTACTGAATCCTGTCTGACGTGAGATACTAAGTCTGAAATGAAGAACATTCATTCAACTAGTTGAGAGGGGACATCAAAACACAAGATACTGAGCAACAAAAACCCTCAAGACCTGGATCTCTGGAAGAACCACGTCCTTTGAAGCTAACGTTGGGGTGCCATGAGTTCTCTTAAGCTGAGGTAGATCGCTGAGCACTCAAGACCCGGAGGCAAGCAATCCCTTCATGAACGGTGTCTCCTCCTCCCCTGCCCACGGTGGACTTGTGCTTTTGGGAAGCTTGGAAGCTGATGATATGATGGATGATGGACGGTTGTTGACGGTTCATGGTTCATGCGCTTGTTGGGTACTTGCTGACAGCTTTAAGTCGCGGTAGATCACCGAATAATCAAAGCCTCAAGACAAGGGGAGCTCCTGGGAGCAAACATTGATCCAGATATGTACTTGATATCAGCTTTAAGTCGCGGTAGATCACCGAATAATCAAAGTTTCAAGACAAACAGGATCCGTTCCTGGAGAATGTTGCAGTAGAAGTAGAGTGCATGCCTTCCGCCTTAAATCACGGTAGATAACCGCATAGTCAAGACCTCCGAACAAACAAGAACTTCTCCTCCTTCATTTCAACAGTGTCGGTGCCAAAGTCAAGTAATTTGCTTGCAACTTTAAATCGTGGTATTTCACCGAGTATTCAAAGCCACAAGACAAACTCCAAGAAGAAAGCAGAGCCGCCAAACCCTCCATCGTAGCTGAACAGCCCGTTGTTGCTTTTTGCGTGCCGGGCAGCTGTTGTTTGTGTTCTGTACTTTTGTTTTTGTGTGCGTTGGGCGTGGACTGTCAAGCGTATCAAGCTGATTGTTGCGGCGTGCGGCATCCAAGGTTGACCGGAACCGTCGTCGTTGTAACCGGACTGTGCTTCCTAGTTAGCATCTTCAGCAGTTTCGTCATCAAGATCGAGAACTCACGGTCCATGAAATCCAAAGTCTCACAGATTCTGGAAGGTGGGGTTGGTAGGCAGGTTGGGAAAACGAAGAATAACGACAATCTCGTGGTCATGGGTGGAAACTGGTATAAATCGAAATAATTTGAGGACGTATTCGATGTAATGCGAGCCTAGAACTTTGAAAACAATCGTCTTCCTCAGCTTGATGCCCAGAAGCTGGTGAGGCAGACCTCATTGTGACGGCAGAGAAAGAACGGGCACCTTAATCCCAGGAGAGGCACTCACCATGTAGACCTCCAAAGTAGCAAGGTGTGGTGTGGCAGTCGACAGTGAGGTGTGAGCCATAAAGATGAGGCAATGAGGCGTGAGGTGGATACAGTCGATGCAATGGAAATTCCTAGAACCTGGAAAACAACAGTCTTCCTCAGCTTGATGCCCAAAGCTGGTGAGGCTAACCTCATCGTGATGGGGAAGGGGAAGGGGAAGGGGAAGGGGACTACAGAAAATGGGCATCTTAATCACGGGAGAGGTACTCACCATAAAATCCTCTCCAAGAGCAGCAAGTTTCATGGTGTGGCAGTGGACCGAGGTGTGAGCCATGATGAGACAGTGAGGCGTGAGGTGGATGCAGTCGATGCAGTGGGATTCCTAGAACCTGGAAAACAACAGTCTTCCTCAGCTTGATGCCCAAAGCTGGTGAGGCTAACCTCATTGTGACGGCAGAGAAAGAACGGGCACCTTAATCACAGGAGAGGTACTCACCATGCAATCCTCTCCAAGAGCAGCAAGTCATGGTGTGGCAGTGGACAACGAGGTGTAAGCCATGATGAGACAGTGAGGCCTGAGGTGGATGCAGTCGATGCAATGGGAATTCCTAGAACCTGGAAAACAAACCGTCTTCCTCAGCTTGATGCCCACAAGCCGGCGAGGTTGACCTTATTGTGAAGACGACAAGAATCGCCGAAAAAAAATTGATGGAAGGAATGAAGCACTGCGAAAAAAAGGGCCCCTTATCACAGAAGGTGTTCTGATGTACTCACCAAGCAATCCTCCCAAGCAGGAAGGTGTGGTATGGAAGGCGACAGCAAGGTGTGAGACGTGGTGATGAGGCAGTGAGTTGAGCAAAGCAGCAAGAAGGCTGACAGATGACAGCGTGAACAAAGATGAAAGACTTGATAGAGGTCAGCAATGGATGGACTGTTAAGTTGGGGGGTGGGGAGGGGGGAGTGAGGTGTACCGACAGTGAGGTCAAGTGTCGAGATGTTGTTCAAGTTTGGTGTGTTTGTCTTGGTGGTGTGGTGATGTGGTGATGGAGCAAGGTATCAAGCTCGAAGGTCATGCATGCATGATGGACATGGACACAAACAGGTACATCAAACAAAGATGAATGAAAGGGTGAAGAAAAGAGAGAGAGACGAAGAAGGAAGAGAGAGATGGAGAAGAAAGAAGAGGGGAGAGAAGGAAGGTAAGTTGGTCTGGGGGAAGGACTGGCTATTTATACCCATGGGGAAGAAGCCATCTGATCTTGCGTGGGAAAGTGTTTGTCTTCAGGGCTATTGGTTTATTTGAGCCCTACCAGCACCTGGTTTGATAGCTTTGTACTTGTGAGAACAGTGAAGACACGCCCAGCGTCAACATTGAGCCCACAGTGCCCTCATACTCGACGAGAGGACTGGGTACTTTACGACCTCACTTGACGTGAAGCCTGGTTTATGACTTGATATTGAAGCTCCAGTATGTACTATCCATGATGGCCATTATGCTTACTTCAGAGCTTCGTAGTCCCAAACAGGCATCCGGGAGGACACCCTGAACGTGAGGCAAGATTTAGAGAAAGGGACGCGAATGTTCGTTCTTCAGCGTCCACAAGTCACTCTTGTTCAACGGTTAACTTTCGAGAATTGCAGTACAGGCCTGGGCAGGTCCTAGCAGCTAGCCTTCTGCTTCCAGGCCCATGCTACCACAACTACGCCTATCTATATTGCCATGCTTGATACTCTAGATAGTCCTTACCCAGCTATAGGAAGGTTACTGCAACAATAAGTTTTAAGAAAATTGCTAGAAAACGGCCAAGGAAACGGCCCCAAAAGAGGATACAAAGTCGACCGTTTTGCTAGGCAAGACCCTCTCAAGAAAATGTACCTGAGCTACGTTCTGTGATACTCTTTATGGATGCTATGAGCTCACCGTCACTGCCACTGTGTAGGATCTAGGAACTCACCCTCCGCCGAGCTACACAGCATATCTGAGCAATATCCGCCAACCAACCCCCGAGACCCCGAGAGTCTGATACAGGGCCTAAGAAGAAGACTACGAGAAATAACGAAGTCTCGGGGCATGACTAGCGGCGGATGATATGGATGATACTAGGTACACTAGTACTAATGCGTGCGAGCCTCTTGCTTGGTATGCACCGAAGCTACACAGTCTCTCGAGAGCTCTCGCTCCAGATTGCTTTCTACGGAATTCAAGATGGATATGGTGTACGACAATCTACAGTCTGCTCTGTTCCAGAGCTGCGAGCAGTCTTGATTCATGTTTTTCGACCATTTTGCAGTTCGCGGGAGGCTCCGTTATACGGACCTCTCGTGGTACTGGCTTCCGGCTATCACACTACTCGGACGGTCATTGAAACTGCTCTGGTGAGACCGATAAAACGGGATTTCTTGCGGTGCAGCTCCTCCAGTAGTAGTCAGCAGAGCACCCAAGGGATATAGCATATCCGTGCTAGGAGGCACTGTCTAGTTGAAGCGAGATGGGAATAGTGTTGGGCTTTACATAATCATATATCTAGGCAAAGCTTTATTCAAATTAAGATACAAGCGCATTCAAGGTCTATATCCTATACACAAGCAAGAAAGGCAGCGAGATGTACCGCCCTCTATACAAATAATCAAACACGCTCCACACCAAGACTACTGGCAGCCTTCTCATCGCTAACCTGGTCAGCTTGAATATCCCCGTAAAGCTTAATCTCATGAGCCATCTTCCTCGCCTGCGCAACCGGGTTCCCACCCCGAGAGAAGATCAAGTCAATATCCTCAAGACGCAGATTGCTAGTCTCAGGATAGAAAAAGTAGATAATGGGAATGAAGAGGAAGTTTGTGACCATAAATATCAGGTATGCCTTCCACTGAATCCGGTTAATGATCACGGGCGTGATCATAACAACTGTGAAATTCCATAGCCAGTTGGAACTGACACCAATAGCCGTACCCTTTGTTCGAGCTTCCAGGGGGAGGATTTCGGGTACGTATACCCACGGCACGGAGTTGATGGACATGCCGTGGATTAGCATGTAGAGGAAGAAGAAGGCGACGGAGGCGGACGCGTAGTTTGTTCCGTTTGGTTGGTGAACTTGGGATAGTAGGGCTGCTACCATCATCATGCAGACTCCTAATCCAAAAGAGCCGATCATCATTGTTTTGCGGCGGCCCATTCTGTCGAGCTTGAAGGCTGGGAGTAGCGAGCCAAGCATGAACATGATTTGGATACAGCCGCCAAGGATCTGAGACAGTTGACTGGATAGACCGACGTTCTTTTTGAGAACAGCTTGAAAGAGGTTAGTATTGGGACTTAATGGTGAGCGGAAGGGTGAGACTAGGCACGAAATATACGACAAGGTTGATTCCTCCAACTTGGTTCATGAGCTGGATACCCCATGCGAGAAGCACGCGCTGGCCAGTCTTGACTTCATCATTGTGGAAGATCTTCCAGATCGACTGCTTGTTGACTGCATCTTCCAGTTCGATGGCGGATAGGATTCCCCTTCGCTCGTTGACGATGAATTCATCGTCTGGCTCTCGGTCATAGACAGCACAGAGAACTTCCATTGCTTCTTGCTCTTGGCCATGGTTCATGAGCCAGCGAGGGGATTCGGGCAGACCGAATACCAGAACAATGACAAAGATCGCGAAGAGGATCTGCATCGCAATCGGGAGACGCCAGGCGATGGGACCGCCAACGAACGACATGCCAAAGTCAAACCAGTATGCAACAACGATTCCTACGGCTGTGAAAAGAACCTCGGAGGAGATGAGGCGACCTCGAGTCTTGCCCTCGCACATCTCTACAACACATTCAGACTGGTTAGTGCAATTCTTGGAGTATGAGTGCAGGGTGCTCGGTTTTTACTTGCCAGCCTGGTACATAGGGACAGTACTCGTCTTCAAACCGGTGCCCGCACCAGTCACAAGTCGCCCAATGATCAAATGCGGCACCGTGAAAGCCGTGGTCTGCATGACTGCGCCGACAATAACCACACCCATGGCAAACCAGATCGTCCTGCGGCGGCCGAGCGTCTCACCGATGAAGAAATTGACTGTCAAGTCAGTCACAATGCCTCAAGAGGGAACATTTCGTTGGTCCACTTACCCAAACATCCAAGAAGACAGCCCACGTTGTAGCAACTAACAATGATACCCTCTTCCGTGTCATCGGGTAGTTGAACTGTTTCCTCCAGTCGTCATTCCCGACAATACCGCTGAACACACCCTGGTCATAACCGAACAAGATGAAAGCCACCAGACAACAAGACGTGACAGCAACCTGCAGGGACCGGCCCCTTCCATACCAAGATCGCATGATGGCAGAGGTTGTGGTTATTATAATCCGGCGGAAAGTCTGCAATGATTCATAAACCACAGAACAACCCGGGGTCTACAAGCCGTGTTTATATGTCTACCAGGCCGGCAGCACTACGTATGAGGCCTGCAACCCGACGATCCAACCCGCATAATGAGGGCAGAGGTATATCCTGGCCGTCCAATGGAGTGCGGTGATGGGTTCTGCAGCGGATCCTGGATGGGATCTGGAAAATCTGGAGTCGAGCCATTTACGCGGAGTATGGAGTGCCTTTGGCTGGACTGTGGGACTTTCTCCGCTAGCGACTGAATGAGGCAAGCCACCCGCGCATTTCCAAGTGCCGAGTGACGGTGCTCGGCAAGAGCCGACAGCTTGGTGGTCCCGATTGCCTGTTAGGGCGAGGGGTGGAACAATGCTATTCCGGCTGATTATTTAGGAAATGTGGTTGATTTGGGAAGTTGTAACCACTACTTTATACCCTTATAGTAATGGCTTGATATGTTGATGTTTACACATGTCTCCCTGTGTTATTACAGGGTCTCCGGAGCATGGTAGCTAATATTAATGTTAATATTCCATTTAGCAGGAAATCAAAGCAAACGACGCTCAATATCTTGCTCTGCAATCTTCTATTCCTAAAATCAAAATATCCAAAATCTACGTATGGCCCCCAGGTCTGTAATAATAACTCCAACTCATCTGTTCTCTATCGACGGCTGGAGACTTTCGTTTCGACACAACAAAGATGTCCTCAACGACTGTTGCAACTGTTCGGCAGCTGCACCGTCATCCTTCGCTCTCTCCGCTGCCTGTCTCTTCGCAATGTTAATGTTCTTAGTTTGAACCTTGATTACTTGGCGAATGAATCTGATTTGGTCAGTCAGTGCCCGTCCTTCCAATTTGAGCGCAGAATCAACCGCGGGCTTGATCTCGTCCGGGATCTAGGTCATGATGTGTTAGAATTGAACTTATGGTCACAATACTTTCCCACTCATACCTCGATACATCGGTTGTGCATAATGCGACAGTATAGACAAGCTCTACGGTTTGGCTGCCGGCGACAGACGCGGCTTGGGACCTTCTCCCTACGGAGGAAGCAGCGTTGGCAAGGTCGTTCGACGATGTTCACGACCAGGGCGGCTTTGGCTCTGGCCCTGATACGACATCGAGATCTGGCACGGGCGTGACGAGGTCTGGCCATGTTGAATTCAAGGTAGAGTATAGTGGGTGTGTTGTTAGGATACTGATCGATGGCATTAAAAACTCTGATTTCTGTGAATTTCATTGATGAGGTATTGGCTTCTGGTATGTAGTTTGGCACCTATTTATATTGAGAAGGGGATTGAGTACTTCTACTTGTTGATAGTACCCTGTACAACGGGAGGGGACAGCTTGAAAAGATACAACAATGGATCAATTTTGTTACATCTAACGGCAGCAATTCATTTGTTCGACAAAGACATATAAGACATATCAATTATTCCGAAGGAAATATTTCAGGATGAAACTTTGGTAGCATAATATAATTGATCTTCAAAGCGGCGTAGTCATGGATAAAGGTGCTTTCAAGATCGACTCACTCAGAGACCTGAATACCAAGGGCCAAAGAAGAGTACTTGAGCTCAAGAAGGGTTTAACCTCCGAATAGTATCGTTCAATTATGTACCTAAAACACATTAAAGAGAGCAAAGAATAAAAATAACAAGCGCACCTGGGCACCTATGAATTGGATTATGTAATGCACCAGCCTCCGTGGCGCACTGTGGCTGAAGACGCATTGATTGGTTCGCGGATCCCGCCTTGACTCTGGCATCCTCTCTTCTCTGAACTTGGAGCATCAAATATCCTTATATCGAACCAAAGCATACCCCAAAAGACCCTTTTGATTAGCTCTTGACGACGCGACTTGGACAAGAATATTTCCCTTTAATACAGCCTCTGTGATCTCGTCATTCACCAAAGAATCGCCAATCACTTCATTGTTCTTCGTCCTACCCCGTCCTAATCCAATAGGACAAGAGCTCTATCCATATATAAATATACGGATCTTGGACTTTATCTTGGAATTCACCCTTGCTAGGGGCGTCCCAGACCCATCCATTGGCTCTGTCGCCAAAGCGCGACATCGACAACTCCAGCAATGAATACTACAGACCAAAATTCCACCAAAGGGACAGTGGTCAGCAATGAAAATGGCGAATCCTTACGCCTGGATTCAGAACTCCAACTCGTGTCCTCACTAGCGAAGCTGCAAGAGCTAGAACGTAAGGTAAGCCCGTGACCAGTATTTCCTCCAAAGCCACAATCCCCAGTCTAACAAAAATAGATCCATGAACTGCGGGAATTTGTGCCACAGGGCCTCTTGGAACCCCTGGTGCCAATCTCAAACCCAGAGAAAGTCACAGCCGACAACCCAGTCGCTGAGACACCACAGATGTTCCGTGAGAATTTGACTGAGGCTGCGCGTGCGCGCGTTGCTGATGTTCAGAACTTTCAGTCGCTTTGGCGGGATCCAACACTGAAGCCTGTGTGGGCACATGTCGAATCGCGCATTAGTGAGTCGAATGGTCAACTTCTGCAGCCGTCGGGGAAGTGGGAGAAGGACTATGATGTGCTTCTTGAGGAGTTATCAAAGAAGGAGAAGACGAAAGAAGATGATCAGAAGCGAGAGGAGGAGGATGCTGAGCGTGCTAAGGCCTTCTCTACCGAAGGAGAATGGCAGGTTGTTTTGGAGCGGTTCGTTCAGAGGAATGTGCCCGGGGTGCGGGTTATCAAGGGCCAGGATGAGACTTCTCTGGCTGTGGCACTCGTCCGGGCAGGTATTGTCTTCCAGGTTCGGGGTGTGGCTGGGGCTGATACTCCCATTTCTGAGTGGGAGGTCTCGAGCAAGATTGCGGGTCGGACGCCGACGAAATTGGAGATCGCCATGTTGGACTGCTTGGGTTCGCGTCCACGCAAATGGGATCTTGCATTCTTGCTAGTATGTTTGACGTTGCACATGGCAAAAAAAAAAGGCGCTAACATCATTTCCAGGATATGATCTCTTCTTATGCGGATATCAAGCAGACACCGTGTGTCAAGTGCAACCGCCTGACCAACAATGGCGCTCAACTGCCAACTCTCCGCCGACCTCAGCCATATCAACAATCATCTGCTGAAGGACCACGCACATATACATTCGACACATTGCATGCAGGTTGCATTTAGACTATGATTTATTCCCATATTGGCCCAAACAAGCTCTCAATCCCAATATACCAAAATTTACTATAACTCAGACTCCACAAAACTACAATCTAACAAGCACGAGACTATAAAACCGAACCAAAACATCAATTAACCCCAAATGCAATGTCTACCTCTCTCACCCAACCAACCCCAAATCTAATCCTGATGTTGTCCATAAATATCATCATGCCAATTCTCAGCTGGATACAGCACCCCATTAGGATCCCAATACCGCCTCGGAACCCGATGAACCTCACACCGTTCATACCATCTCCCCTTCTCACTCGGCCCATTACAAAACTCAACCCGACTCCACGTCGCCCGGTTCGGAACGGTATACTTCCTCGTGCGGAAATCGTATCGTTCGCCGGGTTTGCGTTTTGCCCAGGGTAAGGAGCTATAGTTTGCTGCCTCTGCTTCTTCGTTGTTTGGGTCGATACCCCAGCGAGTCCATTGGTCTCTGCTGGGGGCTGTCTTTGATTTTGATTCTGAATGGGATTGAGAATGTGGGTGGGTGTGGTTGTAGGCGTCGTTGTCCTCGTTCTCCTTTTTGGGATTGGCTCTGGATTTGGAATTGGAGTCCTTGATTACGCCCACATATATGTCCGGTCCTTTGTTCTGTAGGACGTCTAGAAGGCGCCAGCGTCGGGGCCATTTCTTGGGGTTTCCCGGGCGAGGATCTTTGGGCCAGATCCAGCCTAGTTGAGGGGAGGCTATTTTGTCTTTTTGGGTCATTGGATTGGAGATGGTACAGTGGCTAGATAAATGGATGGATGGGCTGGGAGGCTTGAGATAGTTTACTAGAGTGGAATCAACCGCTTCTTCTTATACTTCGCTATACACTGTCAGCCAGGATGTTCTTTTCTTTATTATGATTGCCTTTCTTTCTGGGACTGAGTCGGATTCCGAGTTGTAATGATAGAGAGCAGACTGCCGTGCGTTTTCCTTTGTTGCAATAATCACATCAGATGTAAGACAGTGCTGCTAAATTGTGTTTGGAGTTTGAGGCTTTGTCCCAGTAGTTGTGTGCATGATCTTGTTACCTATGAGTCGTGAAATGTCTGAAATTTGACAATGGCATGGGAGATGTTGGGGTTCTTTGTTTGCAAGAGTATCACAATAATTACCAGACAAGATTCTTTGATATAAATGTCTTAGCTTTTTTCAATCTTTGTGAAGCATAATTTGTTGATCTTCTAGACTGTTGATGCAGCAAACCATCTCCTGCATTAAAAGAAAAGCATCTAAACAGCGTTCATATGCACTATCAGAGTGGTAGGAAGTATATTGATGTGCCAGTCCGAGAGTACAAAGAAGTAAAGAAACCAATTGCTCAGAGCCGCTTATTAGAAAGAAATAGATGCAAAAAAATCAAAACATGTCCCATCGAATGTCAGCTTTGCGGAACGCCATTTTCTTGCTATTAGAACCCAGATCGCTTCGAGAATGCAACGCCCATTATCGAAAATATGTTCATAAGAAATTCAGTGTGATGCGGCTCAGTTCTTCTCAGAATATGCCAGCAGTCCCAGTAAACCAGGTGAAGGAGGCAATCGTGATAATAGCCATGCCGAAAGTGAATTTGAGGGCCTGGCGACTGGTTTCAGACATAGCACCGCCGCAGGTGGCACAGTGGAATTCTATGAAAGTCAGCGTTTGCTTGCAGTTTAAATATTGCGAGAGAATCTCACCATTGAGGGGGGTGTAAGCCTGCGGGGTATACATTCCGAAGGAATACCCGTTTTGCGAGCTCAGGTACCCGGCAGAAGCAGTGTCATCAATTTCCTTGCTAGCATCATAGACGAAGAGAGTATAAGTCGCCGTAAGCAATGGAATGGTGGCAGAACTCTGGTATTTTCCAGTATCCCAGACCACACTTCCAGTGGCCTTCACACTCATGTTGGAGGTCAAAGTATATTCCTGCTTGTTCATGCTGCACGAAGCCACAACATTGACTGCAGATGGTGTGACCGAGAGGGACGTGTAGTTCCATACAAAGGTCACATCCTCGCCGATCTTGTAGTAGCTTGTGGAAAGGGAACCCGGGGTGATCATGGACACGCCTCCAGCAGCGGCAGCTGGATCAATGGAGATCGAGGAGGTTGCGGTGGTCTTGGTCTTGGTGGTGCCAGTCTTTGTGCCGGATGTTGTCTCTGAGTCGGTCGCAGTCTTTGTGTTGGAGTTTGTGCCGGTGGTGGTATCGGAGGAAGTCTGGGACGCGGTGTTGGTAGTCGCCGTAGTTTCAGAGGTCGCTGCATCGGTGGTTGTGGCATCGGTAGTAGCTGCGCAGGAGGTTAGTGTTGACCACGACAGGATCAGATGGATTCTGCTGTACCTGCTCGCTTATCTAGGGAGTCGCCTAAAAACAACCCATTTGGCCTCCATGGCCAAGCCGAGGAGAGTGTACCCAGCAAGAGAACAGTGCAGAGCACGGTCAAAAAGAAAGACCGCATGTTGAAGATGAAATGTGAAATGTGAGGTGATTGGGAGGTTTGAAAATCAAGCGATCGGGGTTATTGTCCCCTTGGCCGCAAGTGAGCTGGTCTGATCACGCCCCTTGCACAACCTAGTGTGACTCGTCGAAAAAGCCCCGTATATGTGGAAAACAGCGAAATCGTTGGTTTCTCGACTGCCCAGAAATTCTGTTACAGAAGATTGATCAAAACAACGTGGAGTGCAGAAAAAGACCCTAATCCCTTGGCCAGCAGTCTGGACCCTGAAACATGCAGATCACCGTAATATGTGGATTCGTGTGGAAAGAAGGCTTCGATTCGGGCAACGACCGTGACTGTATCAATATCGACAATAAAACGAGTGTCTGTAGAGAATCATAGAGAATCAAGAACTGAAGAAGCGAAGAGAAAGCGAGTGACATGCTGCGGGGCTAAGCCCAAATAGGTGAGACATTGGCTATTTTTAGTCGCCCACACTGTTGATGTTTTAGATCTGACATTCTTTACATTCTGAGTTGATCAATTCACATGTTCAATGCTTTATTGGACACTAGGTGAAAGTAAACAGTGCTTAGTACTGCTAAGTTGGTAGTTGCACGCCTAACCATCTCACTTTTGGTCCTTATCTATGTAAACATTGATGAACACAGTTCTTCGAAATTGTTTCTAGGTTTCAAATTCACAAGCAACCCATATGATCTTCGCTAAATACTTGCTCCTTAATCGTCTAAGTTTTTATACACTCCTTATTATAGTATTTACTTCTCTAGCAACCTCTAGGCAAATAACACAACTGATATCGAAAGCACCCGTTCAGATGACCAGTTACAGTAGTTCATATCAACTATCCCTCATTGCCAGACGTACAGTAGAGCACCTGAAAATATACTTAGGGGGATAGATCCCGGCAGACTTGATTTGTTGTTTATCTCCTATGTCTAGAAATCGAAAACATAGACCGGTAGGCAGTCACCGTCAGACTCAATATACACCAAAGCGTACGCCAAACCGATTTTGAAAATGTCAATTTTCCGGCTTAGAAAATTACATTGATTTTCACCAGCGAGTCAATGATTTGAGCTTTGGCGTAGATATGTACTCCAGATGCCTAGTCGCCAAAATAGTACCTCGCACCTGAGCACGTCTAATGGACAGATGCCCGACGCCAGTAGATGGAACTAATCTAGTTTGACTCAACTCGCCGGCCAGATGAAACCTCCATGGTTAGATCATATATATCACACATCTGGTATAAATGGTATATTAAGCAAGTTGACGGGCATCCGGCAGTGGAGAGCATGATCAGACGGATAGCCCGTCCGCTATGATCTAACCGTATTAGGCCAAAATGCATTGAATTTCTGGCAGCGCCTCTGCTCCGAGGTCCTGAGGTCCGAGGTCACTAGCCTCGAGAAATGCAACGTAAAGTTCGAGTACAAAGAATTCAGCACAATACTACCTTTTCACCTGACTCTAGACTGGACGCAAACGCCTATGAGAGGAATATAATCGTCGATGTTGCGACACTGGCACTTGCCCTTTCCGCAAGTCTCTTGAAGCATCTTGGCAAGCTTGAAGGGCATTTGAACTGTGCACAATAAGAATTTGAGGGAAATTATGATACTCGGTTATTGATACTCCGTTTTTCAAAGAGCCAAACACAGAAAAAAGAGATAGTGTTGTCGAAGCCCCACGGTGAAGAGTATATTGCTTTAAGTGTATTTCATTCACCCAAGAGAGCCCAAGCTCTTGTATTAGGTCGGTTACAAGTTTTATTATTCGGCATGAATGAGACTTAACATTGAATATTTTGTTTGCACTGTCATTTGGCTCTTTAGCCGCAATCCTCTTCGTAGTGAATGGATCGTTCTTCTTCCTTCCGGACTTGGTCTGTCAGTCTTCGCTTTGATTGTCTGGTCGTAACCTCTCCCGCTACATGCCTCACATTCAAACATTCAAAACAAAGCATTTGCATAGTCGGGCTCCTAGCACTCGCTTTTGATTGCCAGAGGAGAGCGTGTTATAGCAGCCATATGGCTCATGCTTTGGGCGCGATTTGACTCGATTGATAATAGTTCCAACATTAGTGGGTTCTATACAATTATTCCAGGTTAGAAAAGAGAAAAGAAAACCCGAAGCGTGCAGTCTATGCAATGCAACCAACTGTCATGGAAATTGAAACGTCGACATAGCTCTAGTTGACTCTAGCCGCCGACCATGTCAATTCTCAATCGTAAAGGGGAGCGCCATCATATTGCTATTTAAAATAGACAGACCAAAATATAGCAGCTAAAGCGTGATAAGAAAGAATGAAATGCATATATAGATCTAGGGGGTTCTATATTACCTACACATAAGCGCTGGGGTCCCGCGGATCTAGCATTGAAGCTCCGTGATTGGTCGCCCTCATGTATATCCTAGATATAAGTCTGGCGTTATTGTAAACGACGCTACTGCACTATACCGCTATATTTATGAAACTGCGGCTGAGGAAGCGCTAATGGGAGGGGTATTGAATCTACAATAGCTATCGCTTCCAGATCTGGTCGCACGCGGCATCCAATGCCAAAGGATAAATAGTTCAAACTTCACCAGGGTTTTGTTTTTCACCTCGTTGAACATTACCTACCAAAATTCTCATCCATGTTTGAAAGCCTCACCTCTCGTCGCCCTCTCAAAGCGAACCGCCACCATGCAAACGTCCAGGCCGAAAAACCCTCTACGAGCTCCAGGGCACCGAAGAAGGAACCAGTTCCTACTTTGAATCCGACAAGCTCATATAGCCCCCCTGTACGCCCGGAATATGCGGATGTTGAAGCCATGAAATACTGGAATCGTCTGTTCCCTATCGCAATGGACATGTTCATTTCGACTGCACCGTCGTCGAAACCACCATCTCCGGAATACAACATTCGCGACAAACGGGAGTGGAATAGCGTCTACCACGTGCTAGAAAAAGCGCGGTCTCAATACCAGAGCAAGCGAGGCGCTGTGGGAAAGCTGAATTCTCATCTGCGAAAGGGGGCCGATAACATCGCCCCTGTAGCCAACGCCGTGAGAATCGCCTCAAAACTTGCTCCGAAGGACGCGTTTGCGACGCCCATTCTGGGGACCATTACTCTACTGCTAGATGTAAGACAGCACTTGGGGGAAATCAGATCAGTTGGAATGGCTTGCTTATCTACTCTATCCACCAGGCCGTCAAGAACTCTTCTATTTGTCGCCAACAGGCTTTGGAGGGACTCAGTAACCTCACTGGCATGTTTTCAGATATTGAACTGTATCTTCAATGTTTCCAAGGGGACGAGAATATCCAAGATGCGTCAATCAGTGTGACCGTGGCCGTCCTAGGTGCTGTTGAGCGGGGCATTGCCTTCTTCATGAGCGTCCAAAGTAGGTATCACCCGATTTGCCCAGTGGAGTTCTACTAACACGATTTTTCAGCAACTCGGATATTGAATTCGGGTGCATTGGGGGACAGCTACGGTGCAAGCCTTGTAGATGCTCTAAGCCTAATAGATCAGAAATGTGAACTTCTAATGCAGGAAGCCAACAAATCGCAGATATATAAAACCACTTTACGTACGTCAATCCTAACCTTCCTTTTGACCATAGCTTCTAATGATTAATGACCCAAAAGTCACTCGGCAGTCAATGGCATTGATTGACAAAATACAGCAGATGACTGAGCTCCTGGCTGAAAAAGATCAGGAGCTCAAACGAAAGGATGGTGAGTGGCACCCGAATTTATGACAAAGAGTCAAACCATATCTAACACTAGTCCTCATGATATGTAGACGAGCTCCTAGCTGCGAAGCAACAGATCTTTCTGCTTCAATCATCAATGAACTCCAAGCAGCATGGCTCCATGGGCAGGTCTCAACCTGGGTATCCGAGCAATCAGCCCCTCAAGGTGGAGGTCAAGTCCCAATCGCAGGCTCCACGAGTTGGCAGAAGGTACTGAGTTTTCGTTGTGGTGATCCGCCCTGAACTATTGCCGCATTGCTACGTGGACCTTGAGGCGTAGCTATGAAGAGTTGTGTAAGAGGACTATGATACGCTACCAGGAGTTTCATCATGTTTTGGAAGACTCAATGCTGAAAAGAAACACCTGGTTCTTCTCTTTTGTTTGTTTTTGAGCGTACTGATCAATCCGCCTGGTGTACAAGGCTTCACCTTGACTTGGATTGAAGGCACTAGGGAGGCGATTTTCTCTTTTAGAGAAGCACCACTCTACTACAATAAGCCTAAGAGGAAATGTAGCGTCGATCTCGAGTTTTATGTTAGCTGGCTAGTTAAGAAAAAAAAGAAAAGGGAAAAAAATACATTCTATCAACTACTTATCAGACTAAGGCAAGGGAAGCTTCTAGTCACTGACGGTCCCATCCAACCAGGAATAGAGGGACCGAGTGACATATCCATGACCTATCATTGTTACACTACCAGAACAATCTTCCAAGCAAAAGCTCAAAGCAGCGTTCAGCTTTCTGAAACCCTACTTGAGTAAACACAGGAACCAAAAGTTGAACCAAAGCCAATATGGTTTATCGGCCAACCATACCTAAGCAGTTATACCCACAAAAGTTATCAATACTTAGCTTTATATATAGCACAAATGGTTAGGGGCCAGTACCGGCGGCAGCACCAGTTGTCCAAGCTGGGAGATGATAAACAAGCTCCGCCTTGTTATCAGTCAAATACAAGTTATCAGCACCAGGGCTAGTGGCAGTAAATAAGACAAATTTCATCCAAGGTCCTGTGAGTCTCTCTGCTGTATTGTCGGGATTCACCGCGGCCAGGACTTTAACGAACGGGCACATGACGGCCCAGTTGTGGTCTCTTATAGAGACTTCAATCTCCACAACTCTTCTTGATACCACGCCATTGCCAGTAACTAATTGTGAATGGCCAAAGGTTGGAGGCTCTAGGCCGGACATAGCTTCCATCTGGTCCACATCCTGTTGGTTGATGGACATGATTTCGGCGCCGGTATCATACAACAATGACTGCCCAAGCGGAGCACAGTTGAGGCTTGCACCAGCCGTTCGCATTTCCGTGAAGATCTAGATGGAAGAGAAGATAGACGTTAGAAAAGTGAAATGTTGGGAAAGGAGGCTTGCCGATATCATACTTCATGCGAGTAGTAGCTGTTGGTTGGCCCGATTACGGAGAAAACCATCTGTTGAGGAGGCCCTGCTCCAAGAAACTATGAAAAACCGCGTTAAAAAGTGAATTACACCATTGGAATATCTCAATCACTAACCCCTTCAACCCAGAACTCCCGGTGCGTTTCATACTGCGCGAGAAACGCTTCGTGTCTTTTGTGGTCGAACGGTTCTGGTGGACCGATCAGCATTCCTTTGGACCAGTAGGTGATCATGCCTCTTATGAACATAAGCTCTTTATTCCTGTAGGCTTTCATGAGAGCCCTGACGTTTGGAAGCTGACCATACACATCTGCGTCGTCGGATTCAGTGAGAGATGCTTCAATCGCCCTCAAGGAGACCAGTCGTTCAACGGTCTGCAAGTCAAGGCCCGCAGGCTCCGATGCAATCATCCCCTCACGCTTCTTCTTTCTTTCGAGATACGATTGAAGCCTTATTTCGAAGAATGCAGGGAAGATGTTATCGGCAATTCTCTGGTGGCATCGCTCAATCTGCTCATCGATCTCGTCCTCAAGAAGATCCGGCTCATGAGTGTTCCACCCTTCAGGTAGCTTCGAAGAATTTGTCAGAGGCTCATCCCCTTCATGAGTCCACCTCGGCTGCCTTTCACCACGCGGTGGCTTTTCGATATTTGTCCCGGCGGCATAAGCAGCCAGGACGCTATAATCAACAAATTTTCCGTAGTTCTCCTTGTCCATCAGCCAACGCGAGTTGGAGTTGGCATCAATATCCATGGGGTCTTTGTCTTCTGGGGTAGGGGACCTTGCGGCCTCCTTACCCTTCTTGGAGGCTGCGGCCTTTCCAGTCTTTTTCATAGACCCTCTGGAGGCAGCCCTGGATTTCGGGGCGGGTTTCTTGACGGCAGCGGGGTTGACCACCTTGGAAGAAGACCTGACAACCGGGCCTGAGGTCTTGCGCGCGCTCCTGCGTGGTGGCATCTTGAAAAGAAGACCTTGGTGGTATGTCGTCAAATATTCGACAATATCAAATGTAATCAAGTATGAACTGAGAGGCCATGGCGATGATATTTGTATTCACTCTGCGTGAGGAACTGATACTCGCAAATAAAAACAAAGAAAGCAGCAAGCTGAGTTACCGAGTAAGAGGATAATGTCTGTTTGTTGAAACAAAGCGATGATCTCAGGGGACTCGAGTCTCAAATATGCTATTTGGGGGGACAAAGAGATCAAGATGCTTCGGCCCTAGCACGGCAGTCGTAGCAATCAGTCTTTCATGATCTACGTGATTAACTTACTATTTGTTAACTATTTTAAGTCCAGTCACTCAAAATCAGCAAAAACGAGGTGGAAACAGAGGTGAAAACGGAGAGGCTAAAGGAGGGTGAAACCTAGGGATTATGTCCAGGTAGTTGATCAACTAAGATGAGTGGGTGCTGAAGTTTGTTTCCCCAGTGACCAGTCCTTTAGTCTCGTGTGAACGTTCATTTGATTCATAACGGTGTCTTTGGGGCTTCAATGAACAGGGGTAGGAGATTCGTGGTCAAAGAGTCGAGTAGACGTTTCGAGTAACCAGCCTTCCACAGCACAAAGAAGGCATGTATGTAGACCAAGGTATTTCTGCTTCGGCTTCTGGGAAGGCTTTCTGTTGAATAAAGGGGCGTTTCGACTCCTCGCCAACAAACCATATTTCCCCAGCCTCGACTACGCTCTGGAAGAACAGCGACTCACTAAAGGATTTCGTGGCTCTGAAGCAATTAAGAAGGGGGTTCGAACTTTGTTATACTTCTCCAGAGGCTGCACGAAGGTATGATTCGGGCTCATCTAGGTTGACAGAGATCAGCGGCATTAATGAGGATATTCCTAATGTTCCATGGAGGAAAACTCGGTATACATGACGAGGCAAATTCAGTTGTAGTGTGTGTGTTGAAAACTTATAAATCGAGTCACACAAAAGAATATAAGTGAAAAAGGTAGCAAAACTAATTTCAAGTGCGTCTGTATACAGATCTCAAGCAGAAGGAATCTACAATGTATGCTACAGTTACAAGTCACTATAGTATAGAGATATATCTATTCCATAAGCCGTCAAATTCTAACCAATATGCACCTTGATTCTTTCTCGATCATTTCATACGTGAATATCATAGAGATCAATCACAAAAGTAAAAAACGCAGAAAGACGGGCAATTTTTCCGACCTAAAAAAGCAAGGAACGGTCGTACTAACACGAGATAGGGGATGGATGGACAGGAGAAAAATGAAACCGTGAAGAATTGTGAAAAAGAGAAAAGAACATGCCATTACATCAGAATCTAAGCCTTGATCGCTGCGCCCAATGCACCACCGCCGAACTGCTGGCCACCGGGTCTCCGGTCTCCCTGAGGGATACGGGCACCACCGCGACCACCGCCGCGACCACCACCGCGGCCGCCACGGCCACCACGGGCGCCGGGGCCGTGCTCGCGCTGGAAGGCGTTGGCCATACCCTGTGTGCGCTGCTCGAGGGTCTTTTCGTTGGACTCGAGGAGGTTCATGGACTTGTCGGCAAGGGTGACGATCTGGGACTGGAGGCGGGAGAGCTCGACGCCCTTGCGGAAGATGATGGCGTCGTTGACCTGGTCGAGGGCGGCAGCGAGCTCCTCGTGAGAAATCATGCGAGAAATCACGGAGACGATCTTCTTGCTGCTCAGCTCGAACATGGCCGCTAGGGAGGTGATGGAGAGGCTGTCATAGAAGGGGGCGTATGTGAAGAGGTAGGTGCGGAGACCCTCCTCCTGGGCCTGCTCGGAGAGCATGGCCTTAATCTTCTCGGGCTGGGGCATGAGATCCCAGATCTTGATGGCAGCGAGAGACTCGGCGGATTTCTTCCATTCGCCCGCGGCAAGAAGCTTGGCCGATTGGATCACACCGTCACGGGTGTTCTCGGGGGGACCGGTGAACACCTGGCGCTCGTTGTAGTCCAACATACGGCGGAAAGTCTTGGAGATCATGCGGCGGCGCAGCTCGGGGGAGGACGAGCTCTGGGCCATGAGGGGAACCTCGAGGAACATGCTTGAGGTGAGGTAGATACACTCGAGCAATTCAAGGTTGATGTGCATGTGGAAGGGCAGCTGGCGGGCCTTCTCGGCCTTCTCAACTTCGGGGCTCAAGCTGGCAAAACGCTGCAGGATGAGACCCTGAGCGAGCAGCTCCTTTTGGCGGCCGCTACCGCAGATCTCACCAAGGGTGTTCTGGGCTTCGTAGATGAGGCCAGCACGGAAGGCACAAAGACCAATCTGAACAAGTGTGCGGTTGAACAAGATCTGGGTGGCAATATCCATGGAAGAAACAGACTCCGTAAGGTGAGACATGAGCATCAAATCACGGGACTTGTAGTATTGGTCGTGGAGGGCGAGGAAGTAGATCTGGCAAAGCATGGCACGGGCACGGGGAATGCCATCGCTGTTCTGGAACATGTAGTTGCAGATAGCGGCAACGAGGCTCTGAATGTCACCGGCCTTGGAGCCAGCAGTAACGGCGGAGTTGATCTTGGTAGGAACAGCCTTGTCCTTGTTGTCCTCAAGGATGGAGACAACCTGGGCAGGCTTGAAGTAGATGTGCTCCAACCGTCTGATAACAACTCTGTTCATGCTCTCCTTTCCGTTCTTGTCGGACTCGCCGAGGCTCTCGACGTACAATTGTGAGCGGACAAGGTTGTTGTACAGGTTCTGCTCGTCGCTCAGGCGCTCGATGTATTCAGCGGTGTGGGGGTCGATCTGCTGGAGAGAGCGGGTGAGCTCGTCGTCAAGGCGCTCGACGAAAGAAACAATGGAACCGGGGATGGCGAAGGTCTCGCCCTC